CTGCAATGTTGAGGCTCCTTACATTCATTTATGTCTTCTGAACAGTTCTTAGAAGTCCAGCCAGTTTTGCACACACAATCCCCGCTTGTGTTATTACAGTAGGCAGTGTTGTCCTCCTCACATGGGCAAGTCGTGTTGCAGTCGTCAAGTCCATACATGAAGTGTTTGCATTCTGTTTAATTTAATACTTGTTAATTAAGTCGTTTAGACTCGAGGGATATTAAAATGATACCCAACTCATTGCTATCTTTAACATTTTTATGTGTAAAATATGGAAACAACCAAAAAGACAAACGATAAAAAAAAAAAAAAAAAAAAAAAAAAAAAAAAAAAAAACAAAAAAAACAACGTCTAAAATTGGATAATAGTAATCATAATGCTTCTTTTTAAAGCTATTTTGTAAATTTGCTAATTTTATTGTCCTATAAGCTCACTGAACATTTTAAGAATTACTAGATGTAGTAGCGATTTGTTCTCTTGGTTCTCTCTTCTAAATATTTGTATAGCATCGGTGAAACAGTTTTACTGAAAATGTACATTAGGGAATGGCGTCAGTGAGCCGTTGAGCTAGTACATTATCTCCTTAGGCTCTCCCTAAAGCACCTCCCAACGAGCTCGGGTTATTAGGCTGCGATGCGGCAAAGTGGAGATCTCCCATTCACATGGCACAGTTTTAAAATAAGTATGAATAATAAGTATCACGCGGTCACCCGTATTCTGCCATCGGTCTTCTCGGATTAATATCATCTAAGGAACATCAAGATTGCTGTAGAACAGTTCATCAAATAACAGTAGCACTCTCCAGTTGTTAATGTAAATGCGTCAACTTAAACATTGTCTACCCTAGCCTAGAACTATTGTTCTATATGATTTTTTACTGAATCCTTACTAGAATTTTTAATATTAAAAACATATGCGGAATCGGAAATCATTAAACTGCAATCGTTTAAATAATTAAAACGTTTACCTCAATCTAAATGGTAATTTTTCTACAAAACACGAAACACAATGCACCTAAATCAAAAATTTAGACAAAAGCGTTAACCATTTGCTAAAACATAAATGATCTTGAAGTTTCTTTTTAATAGATTTATCTCTAACTTATATTGTTGTGAATAGTGAAGATTGAATATCCAAACAATACATCCAATGAAGTTGTTATACTACAATGTTTATATTGGTGCACTTTTTTTTCATGCGATTGTTTTAATGTGTGGAGTCACGTATTTCATCTGGGAATGAAAATTTTGTCAATCAAAAAACACTTGATGTAATGCATCTATTTTTACCATGCGCCCAATAGGATGCAGCAAATCCTAGTCCTGTCAGAGCAGCTCCGGAGTTGAACAGGACGTGCAACTTGTTCCCAGTGGATCTCACGCGCCTAATTTGTAGAGTCTCATTATTCCAAAAATTGGAATACCTCTCTAACACAGGTGACTGATTGCTGTCCCCATCGTAGAACACGACATCGTCAGAATCGTCGACATCAAATGTTATAAATCTTGAACATAGAAAAAAAGAGAGCATATTCGGTCATAAAGTCATGGTGTGAAATTTTAGTAGTTCGTTGTGCATTAAAAAGTACAAGAAATATGTGAATGATAGTTCATGACAAATTTAATCAACTGTCAATTTATATATATATATATTACGAATATAAATTATATAAATTATCGATTAAAAAATACTTAAAATTTATTGCACAATTTCATACAAGCAAAAATGTTGACTAAAGTTAATCTACTTAAAATTTATTGCACAATTTCATATAAGCAAAAATTTTGACTAAAGTTAATCTAAAACAAAAAAAAAATAATATTAAAAGAGAGGCAACACTTTAAAGGTAGGTAATTGCGACAAGACACATACTTTACTGAAATCACTTGCTGTTCCGCAACAAGTATCGTCCATTCACATTGTATGTTTAGTGGATAGCTCCTTGGGTAGTTCGGTGTAGAAAAAACGTCCGCTTGGCTAGTAAGAACACCGCCACAAATTACTGCATGGAGATATTCAATCAAATATTTGATATTTTTTGTGTGGTTAGTGTATAATTGTTAATTAAGCTTTTTTGTTTGAAGAGATGTTCATTACAATGCATGCACCCAATTTATTCATTTTAAATCAATGTCCAGTATCAGAATTTGTAATGCAATTCTAGTGAAACCTATTATTTCTAACGTTAAAATTATTTATGTCCAATTAGCATATTATTTTAAAAATTATTCTCTGACATGGATATAAAAAAATATATATTTATTCGACGCGTGGTATTGATCCATGAAATTAAATTATTATTTGATGATACGGTGTGCTTTTTAGTAAAATTTTATTACATGGATTCAACAGATAGGCGTCACCTTGAGAAGGGAATCATGGGCATATCCGCTAATATTCTGTACTTTATGAAAGGGTTAGACTTTAAGCAAGTATTAATATTAATAATAATATAAATAGTTTTATTAATATAAAAAAATCTACAATAGTATTAGAAAAAGCTTTTGCAATGTTATACGATTTGCCCCATGAAAAAAGGGCTGAACGTCCACCCTCACTCCCGTTCTATTTCTTGAAACCAATGAAGGTATGTTATTCATTTCGGAATGAATATCTATGTTTTTAATTTAAATTATTTCTGTTACTTTTGTATCTGCAGTTTATAAATGTGTTCTATCCTCGCCAAATATACACTCACCATTTGTTGCTGTCACCGTATACCCGTACAGACACAAAGCCAACAATATCGAAATCCAAAATAAACCGACAGCCGACATTTTGCCCTGAAATGATATTTACTTTTGGATTGTTTTTCAAACTCAGTCATTCTATAGATTAGAAGTGCAGCCTTATTGAATAAAAAAAAAACTTCTCAAAGTCTCATGACATTTTTAGCACAGTATGAACGTTTACAAAATGATTTTAAATGAGAAAATAAATTTCTTGCCCTTATCATTGTCATCTAAATTTGTTTCTTGATGACCATGTATAATACTTTTAACATTATTTTATACAATGTCATCTACCATTGCTTTTTTAAGCAAAAACAATCAATTATAACACACAACTTGCTTTTTTTCATTAAAAAACAATTAATCTAAATAAAATGCGCAAATAATTTACTGACAATATAATGTAATGCTAGTTTTTTAAAATTCTTAATAAGTAATTAAAAGAGGTAGCGTGAATTTTAAAGTTTTAACAAAACATTCGCGTCTATAAATTATTTCAATTTTTTTCCATGTCAAGTTTCGTGCACTTACCGGTCTCGCATAACAGCTCAGAATAGATCCACTTAGATTAACACTATTATAAAATGTTTCGTTACCTTTCAGATAAACAGCTCAAACATTATTGGCTGTCGCATTGACTAATGAAAATATAGGTAGTTTTTAAGGAATGTTTAATGGTATGTGGATCATTAAAAACACATTACAGATAAATGTACTATGTCTTATCTCAACCTCCTTAAACAAATACTAGTAAACACCATATTTGCGTTTGTTGTTATCACATTGTAGCTGCTTTTGTAATATAAATTGAAGATTATGTCAAGCTAACCTGCACATTTGTTTGACTTAAAAAAAAACACCACTTCAAAAACTTGTGGAGAATATTCATCAATGTGGTAAAACAACATTGGCGGGGGAACACTAGAGCAGTTTCATGCGGGGATAATAACATTAAAAAAAAAGTCCAACCAGTAAAAATGTTTTTAAAAAAATCAAATTAATTGTTTTCAAAAGCAACAAAATATAGTTAATATTGAAATTATTGTTTGAGGATTTTTTAAAAAATGTCTATGTTTTTAAAAGCATTGCGTTATTTGTATTCAAACTGACATACTTGTAACGAAACAGATCTCAATTTTTATTTTATTTAAAAAAAAAAAAAGTGATACATTTTTAATTCAAAGTAGGTCACAAAATATGGTATTCATTTTCCTTAACGTCAAAGAACAACACAATTTAGTAGTATCTTGTCTATAATGTATCTATCCAAAATAACATGTGTTATGTTCAAAGGATGTTGTCACGTGATATGTGCTCCATTTTAATGAAGTTTTAAAAAATCTCCATTGTCTGACGTAGTGGTTTTTTCTTTCTAGCTTGACTCCTACTTATTCATCAGTGTATTTTATTCACGGAATATGACGTGACAGGGACTCGAGTGACGCATCTTTAACAAACTAACCGGCCAAAGATCAAAAGACAAATTTATCCCACAAATACGCTATTTGGTAAATAAATATATTTATGATGAATAACAAAAAGGCCCTGATGACAGCTGAGTTCGATGAGATCAAACGAGCTTAAAAGAACTGGGACACGTGGGATAGAAATACTTCACGTTTAAGAACGGGATTCAATACATTTGAGAACCTCCGAAACCCACAAGATCCAAACACAAATCCACTATCTAAAATTTAATACAGTCGAGGAACTAGTTTGGTTAATATGGTCATTTAGCCTATACATAATTTTTATTTCAAAATAACGTTTGTAAATCAAGACACAACAAAGAATATCACAATTCTTCCAATTTTCTTTTTCTCGCTCTTACACCCTTTTTAAAAACACATTGCAGTGCGCCATATTTAATTAAGTTTAACATTTACATCTAATGATAAACAATCCCGTTTAGTTATATTTTAACTCTTTACACATTTGCATTAACAAAGTTCAAGAAATGGAAGGAAATGTTAATACGTATTTCTGTTTTCTTCTAATGAAGCTGATTTATTGTATAGATAACATTAAATAAAACTAAAATAAATTAATGCCATTGACATTTTAAAATTTTATAATCTCAGGTTATGGTAACAAAAAACTTCCCGGTTCACATAAGTTCAATTAAGACCAAAGTTTTGATGGAGATAAGATAATAAAAAGCATGTAAATGTCTACGATGGCCTAGATTGACATTGTGTGTTGCAATCAACAGCGGTGCAAAGATATGAAATAGTCACGGCCTTAGGAACTGTTTTTTCGTGCTTTGTTAGGGTAACAATTACATGTAGGTGTCCAGTCAAATGAAAAATAAAGTGTTTTCAAACTATTTCTGTCAAACATCTCTTCTTTTCAATGAATTACATGTGACACACTAAAGATTCTCGCAGACGTATAAAAAATAGCAAAATATCATAGATTTATTGAAGAATAATTCGCGCTATATCATCGGATTAAGACAAACATTTCTTCTATAAATATGATTTTATTTTGTCACTTTCGATTTACCTTTTGCCCTGTTACATTAATTTACTTGAAATTACCCAAAATAACTTAAATAACAATTGTTTTACTCTATTCCAGTAAAACAACACACCAGTTTTAAAAGATGACATATACATGAGAGAGTATCAAATTCAATTAAAAATTTCATTTAGAACACGGTATCAATATCAATACCTACCATTTTTCTTAAGCTGAATATAAGAATTCAGGGGGTTATCTGAAAGATTGCCTGTTACAATTATCCCAACCCTGAAATAAGTTTGAAAATAGAAGCTTCAGAAACTGAACGAGAGAAAGCATTAAGTGAATCACAGCTTCAATAAACAGAGATTGTTTCGAAAAAATTCATTTCAAATTTTAACATAAAAAAAAAAACAAGTTTAAATTTAGCAATAACTACATTTAAAAAAAAATTAATGATAAGTAAGACCAATGTACATCTTATCAGAATTTGGGCTTTAGTAGTGATGAATAATAATTTTGTTCCAAACTAGCGTAATGGAATTCCCATGTTACCATTATCAGTTGACAAATTATAAAAATACAATTAATCAGACGCAATTTAATTTAAAATCTTCTTATCTGCTACTTCCTCATGCAGATATGGCATTACACATAATAACACTGCATGAGACATTTGACTTCCGCCTAGAATAAAACAATGTAATGTAACGCGTATCTCTAGTAGGGCTTAGCCGGTTCCTGACCAGGGTACTCGGATATTCCGAGTACTAAAACACCCGAAACATACCCAGACATGGTAAAACGGAACTGTCTCCGGGTGTTTAAAGAATTATAGCCAATTTTTTAACCTTAGTTTTTGTTCACTTTACCTGAATTCAGAAAAAACAACAAGAAAACCGATCAACGAGTGTTCCAAAACTAGTTGAAAATTGAATGAAACTGCACAGCTTTGAAAATAACAATGTCTTTGTTTGCGAGTTGTATGTGATTGTTTGTCGTAGCAAGATTGCATATCCTTGATCACGACACTTGCTGCTAAATATGAATACTATTATTTTCATTTCACACCCTGACTGATGAGACTGACAACATTTATAGGGTCTGCCATATATTTTGTGGTCATTGATAATAATAAAATTATTATTACGATGACTACTATTCTTCAAAATGAACCCACAATAAATTTTAATTGCTTTCTTCTTATCGTATAATGACGTGCTCCTTCAATTTGCCTTCAGGGACTGTGAAGATGGAGTGTAGGTCCATACCAGATCTGATGGTAGGCTGTTCAAAATGACCCGCCTTCGTGCAAAGCCCAGAGTAAAATAAGGTGCAGAAGAAGGTCTTCAGGGGCTAGTTAATCGTCTATCATACGCTTGTAAAGAGTTTAGACTTTCGATTAGTCTACAGAAAACACATGTAATGATGCAAGAGGCACCGTCCCCTCCAATCATATATATTTAGCGTCATAATCTTTTGGTTATTGGGAATTTCACATACCTTGGATCTAATATTTCTAGTTCTCTCTTCCTCGATGAAGAGATAAATATCAGGATCGCAATACCAACAGCAACTATGGCTAAACTGAATAAGCGGGTGTGGAATAATCTCAATCTAACTGATAAAACAAAACTAAGTGTCTATCAGGTATGTGTGCTTAGCACGCTCCTGTATGGCAGTGAAGTGTGGACCACATATACCAGTCAGGAGCGGAAACTCAACAGCTTCCATCAAAGATGTCTGCGTCGCATTTTACGCATTCGATGATAGGACAAGGTGCCTAACACGGAGGTCTTGGAACGTGCACGCAACACGGAGGTCTTGGAACGTGCACGCATGTTTAGCATATTCTACTTTCTTAGGAAGAGACGCCTTAGCTGGTTAGGCCATGTAAGGAGAATGGAGGAAGGACGTATCCCAAAGATGCTGCTGTATGGAGAGTTGGCAGAAGGGAGAAGACTTGTTTGACGGCCACGCCTTAGATTTAGAGAAGTTTGCAAAAGGAGAATAAGGGAATCCAATATTGAAAACAACAAATGGGAGCTCATTGGTGAACAACGTTCCAGCTGGCGAACAGCAGTGTATGAAGGAGTAAAAAGGCAGAAGTTACGCAAAACTAGACCCTTGCAAAAAAAAAAAAAAAAAAAAAAAAAAAAAAAAAAAAAAAAAAAAAACAAAAAACAAAACGGAAGTCAAGATCTTACCAGGAATCAATATTCTCCTGCGAGAAATACAGATGAGAGTGTCATTCTAGGATTGGCCAAGTGAGCCACTCGTCGAAGTGTAGGACTACATGGCTACTCCACCGTCTCTCGAAGATGGAAGGATGCCATATAATTATTATGATGACCACTATTCTTTAAAATGAACCCAGAATAATTTTTAATTGCTTTCTTCTTATTGTACGATGAAGTACAACTACTTCCGGGTAAGACGAACGTGAACACCCGATTCATTCGTTCATATAGATACATTGAAGATTTTTTTTTCTTTTTTTTCCAATTGTTCTACGTTATAGCCGAGTTAGTGATCAGTGACTGACAGAAATAGTTATCATTTTAGTTACCGATAACAGATGTAAGTAGGCCCTAAGGTATCTAAGGCCCCAGTTAGTATCTATCTCTCATATCTTCAACAGCCGGCTAATCAGTTGGTATGTATCTCTCAGAACCCTAACAGCTGGCCCGTCAGTTAGTATCTATCTCTTAGATCTCCAACAGCCGGCCTGCCAGTTAGCATTTATCTGTCATATCTTAAATAGTCAGCCTGCCAGTTTGTATCTATCTCTCAGATCTCCAACAGCCGGCCTGCCAGTTAGCATTTATCTGTCATATCTTAAATAGTCAGCCTGCCAGTTTGTATCTATCTCTCAGATCTCCAACAGCCGGCCTGCCAGTTAGCATTTATCTGTCATATCTTAAATAGTCAGCCTGCCAGTTTGTATCTATCTCTCAGATCTCCAACAGCCGGCCTGTTAATTCTTTAAAAAATAGAACCCAACTTGGACCTAACCAGAGCATGAAACATTGGGTGGTGTTCATGGGCGTAGGCAGGAATTTTCTCAGGGGATTGGGGGTTAACAAACTTGGGACATTTTTTTCTTAACATAAACATATAATTGAAAGCTAAAAAGAGTAGGCCTATGTATAAGTAGTAGCCTAATTTTTATTATAGTTCTTTGCAAACCTAAAAAAGTCATTTTGAAAAATATAATCATGTATTAACATAAATTTTTAAGCTTATAATGTAAGCTATACAACTAATAGAGTCACACATTTCTTGTTATTCTCTAATTTCAATCTTTGAAAAGGAATTGAAGTCGGCGTTTATCCGTTATAAATATTATTTCTAAAGCTGCAAGAGCCACGTCCATAGATACAAGAGCTTTTCATCTCAATTTTAACTATAGTTGTAAGAGCCAAGTCCATAGATACAAGCAATTTTCATAACAATATTAACTAAAGCTGCAAGAGCTAAGACTGGATTAAATTTTTTCTTCTTAAACTGTGTTTCAATATTCTGACGATATTCCCGGAAAATGTCTGTTAATTTACGAATATGTTTATGTACACTTTACAAATCAAGCTGTATTGCTTACAATGATTGAATTACTGGTTCCAGTATCGCTGAGTATGTAGAGATGTACGAGAAATATAGGTTTAGAACATGAATACAATAGCTGGTGAGCATCTTGTTGCGTTTTACTTGTGTCATGGTTTGCTAGACTGAAATAAACTTGAAATTCTCACTGAAAATAAGATGCTTTTATATTTTGTGGACAATCGAGTTTCACAGAACAATAGAACTTTAATTATTAATGACCTTCGCTTTATACTTTCTTGAAAACAACGTAATGACAAATTTGATAGTACCCATGGCTTTACGCGCTTGAACATTTAAATTCAAATCATTAACCTCCAGATGTACAGAAGAGGGAGTAAAATCTACTTTTAGTAAAATCTAGCGTATTTTAGTCTGAACATCGCCTTACTTTCCTGCCATTGTGGAACAGCCATCATATCCTTGTTCAAGTAATTTTCTCATGTCCAGACAACATTGATTACAGTGATTCATTGCTGTCATTTGCTTCAGTGGTTGGAATCCGATGGTCTTAACATATTTGAAATTCACTCTGTACGTTGTCCACAAAACTTACAGCAAACGACACTTGTTCTTTTCCTGATATATCAGCCATTCCATCGGCTAAAATTGATAATGATATAGAGGGTTTTTATTATTATTTATAATAAGTTTATTTATTACTTCATCAATTATCACTATGAAACCATCACATATCTCTATTACATGATTTTGGATCATGTGAGAAGTAAAACGAGCATTACCTACAGATGTCTGCAAGTATGTCTACAGGTCTTTGTCGCCAACCTCCACTCTAAGCTAAAAAAGGTCATTAACTTTTCCAATGTCACTATTTTTGCCACGAAGTGCGATGTCGTGTATTCCGCAGAATTACTGTTGAAAATATCGGCAAAAGCTCATTTCGATTTTCTAAAATCTTATTAGAAATTGACTTAGGATATTAGAATATTTCGTCTGGATTTCTAATGATGCTCAAGAATGCTTCTCACCTTTGTTTCCACACAATTTCCATATGATTACAAGTACCTTGAGGAAAATCATCGTACTTAAATAGTGAAATATATTGCTATAAATGCCACTTGGTGCCCATGATGAATGGATTGCGTGAAAAAAACACAAAATATACATACTTAACCTTTAAAATGACAAGAATAGTCAAGACATAGAGAGAAAACTGATCAAGCCAGGCATACCAAAAAACAACAACACGAAATTGCTTTGCCAGGTCTGTCCTTAATGAAATTTTAACTATCTATGTGTCGAAATGGATTTTTGAGAAAAGGTTATTTAAATACATCTGACGGTTGAATCTTGAATGGATATATCGACCCCAATCAAAATCATTGATTTCCATCTCACAGCCGAACTTATAATGTGTTGATATTGCGGTGTCTAATTTGAGTGATGCCGATAGTAATAGATCGAATCTCTGAGAACCACTGTGGGCAGCGTCAAACTCTAGCGAGGGTGAAATGGTCCGATCACTACATTTAGTTTGTTCTTCAACTTGTTGATCCTCTCTTTTTAGTGTCGATTATGTAGACAGCGTTGTTAAGTTCCAACATGTCTTGCATTCACGATCATCATTGGACTTCTTTTATCATTTGTGACCTAGACAAGGAAATACTATTTATTTTCATATACATATTGCATATTCATATGGGAAAAGTGCAAATATTATTTTTTGTATTATTTTATTCTTTTCCAGGATCACAATGACCCACCAAGAGCCATGGAATGGGCGCATTTGGTTGGGTAGAAGATACGTCACTAAACTCTCTTCAAGCTAACATAATTTTGTACAGAAACAAAGATGTCTTTTGTGTTCTGTTGTGTCAGCATCCACTTCTCTAAAGCCCAGGAAGTTAAAGAGACACTAGGAAACGAAGCATTCCTGGTCGCAAGTAAGTCCCTCCTATGCAACAGGGGAAGGAATCATGTTATAAAATGCGACAAATAATTATATTAAAAGAAACATTATTATTTACCTTTCAGATGGTGAACCCACTTTAACTAAAAAAAATCTTTTTAGAAAATATATTACAAATACACATTTAAAATAAAAATCTAAATTTTCTTAATAATTTGTACAAATGAAAATGGTATGACCAAAATTGTTTTCCACATGGAAATATCTGGTAAAAAAGAAGTCGGAGTTAAGTTTTTACTTTTCTACAACACGGCGATATGAATAAAAAAACAACAACAACAAAATACATAAAGAACAGCCATTAAAAATACATCAGAACCTCTCATTTTACCAATTGGCTTTGAACTTACACGAAAATGACCAACACCCCCCCCCCACCCACCAGTCTTAACCGGCCACACCAATGAGATCAATTATGCGTATCCCAGTTTCAACCGATGAAAAAAAACAACAACAACAAAAAACAAAAAAAACAGCCATTAAAAAAACATCAGAACCTCTCATTTTACCCATTGGCTTTGAACTTACACGAAAATGACCAACCCCCCCCCCCCCCACCCACCAGTCTTAACCGGCCACACCAATGAGATCAATTATGCGTATCCCAGTTTCAACCGATGCACATGAAGACACACCACGTTGAGATGACTCATGCACGACAATACACGATGTTAATAGTATTTTGTCAGCTCGGTTCAGCTTTACTCCTGTCATTCAGTCTTAATCCCTGGCAAGCTATAAATAATTTGGATACCCATAACTTCTATCAAGGGAAAACTGAGACGAAAAAAAGCCAAATATATACGTAAGCAACAAAATTTTAGAAATGAAATCATTAGTTACAGTCATGAATACGTTACAAAAACAAATATCTGTCTGATATCGATTATTATGGTCCTCATCGCTCCCTACTTTTGGTGTACATATAATAATGCTATTAAATTATTTTTTTAAAAAAAGGTAACTTCTACAGGTAATCTTAACTATTTTTTTTTCAATTTCTTTTTGCTTGTTATTGTGTTTATCAGATTACTTCAGGGGGTAAATTTCGTATGACATAAAAGTTTTAATAAACTACTCAAGGTATTGAAATTTTTATTGATATTCACTAAGCAAGTTAATGGAGATATCATATAGAATGTGATGACAAGCAGCCTACGTTAATCACATGAAAGGTGTTGATAAACTGCCCCAAGTAAAACTTAAAATCAAAGCACAGCTCTTGTAGCTAAAATTCATTTCCTGTTATGTCGGTTTCGCAGTTACCAGAATCGGTTTCACAGCGTTAGCTCTAACTGCGCTGTTAGTGGAGCAGTTGTGAGCACCAGGCCACGGAACAGCGGGTAGTCTGACAAGTAGGGCAGCTCTGCCTGTTTCTCTCGCTTTGAGCCAGGGGCGTTACCCACTAATTTCGGCAGCCGGGCATGGATAAACTGATTTTTAAAAAGGAAGGGAGAAAAAAAAAACTTTTAAAAAAGGGGGAACAATCTACTAAGACATATTTAATAAAATTCGTATTTTTCTTTTAAATGAAAAGCTCTGTTTTATCTGTAGTTGGCGTAGGGGCCTTAAATTGTGGAAATAAAAGTTATATGAAAGACGGTCCCTCTTTTGAACCGCCCCTGAAAGCATTAAACGCACATATCGTCCGCTTACGTTTGGCCGGAAGTTTCTGAGTAGGTAGCATTAGCGTGGAACGTCCCACCCCCACTCACTTTTTCTTTCCTTCCTTCCCGTTCCTTCTTTGCCTACTTTCATAGTTTCAGTTCAAGGAACCAACCATCAGACGTGAGCGCTGTTGAGACCACTACGCCACCTGTTGGAGGTAAGTAAATGCGTGTGATTTGTTTGAATAGAAATGAACGATGTGGAAACTAGTAAAGTAGTAAGTTGGTAAATTATTATAAATGGTAACTATTTGGTAAATTAGTATCAATTGGAAACTAGTTGGTAAATTTCAATCAATTGGAAAATAGCTGGTAAATTAATATCAATTGGAAACATGTTTTTTAAAAAAAACCCACAAACAGAAATGTGAAAATATTTTTTCTAGATTTGCACATAAACAACAACTAAAATGCATATTGGAACATAAAGGACTCTTCACTTCGGTTTCAAATGCTAACAAACATAATTATTCATTTAAGTCTGGCTTCATTTTCAAACGGATTTATCAATGAAATAGAGATTATAGAAAGGTCTAAATATACCACTACAGTATTTTAATTAATGCATATTCCATTAAAGGTATTTAAAATATTTAAGTAATATACTAACAATTCCCACTGTATTATTTCCACCATTAGTACTGTTTTTACCTGGACACAACTGGTTTGTTGGTTCTTTTTCTAGCTTTGTTATGAGCTACCTTCCTAATTAAATATATACATATATATATATTATTTAAATTGATCAGGGAATCGAATGGATCTAATATCCAGGCATGCATAAATGACACGATAAAATGAAACATAATTAATCCTAATCTGGATCCTGAATTTTTCCCAAAAGAAAGCCTCACAGGGAGAAATCATTTTTTTTTAAAACCATGCATTACGTCAATTACGTTAAAGATCTAGTCCCATTCTCCCCCCCCCCCCCAAGATGAACGATGTATATCAGGGCTCTTAAAGGAGTCGGGATCACTAGTCACGTGCCTCATTTACACAGATTATGCACTCTGTTTCCTCCATCAACGATTTTTGTTATCCGTAAAAACATAATGGAATTAATAATTATTTAATACTTCTTCCGATAAATTTAAAAGTAATTTAGAGTAACAAACAGCCCCCACACGCACTATTTTTAATTATTTTTTTAATTTTTTTTTTGTATCCCACTTTAAAAAAAACAAACTATTTTGACATTCTGTTGAACTTTAACCTTGACGGACCTCCCCAAATACTTGAAACAATTTATCGGTTTAGTCTTACCCGCCTTTCTACACTGTCTCCCCTTGCAGCAATTAACATCACTTCCCGTGGGCATCTTCAGATTAGCTTGCTGGGTTACAAGATGATAAGTAACTTAGGGAAACCATGGCCACCTGTTACCACGTGCCTGGTAGGTCGATCAAGGGGAACCAACTCTCCCCCCAGGCTGATTTTGTTTTCATTCTTTTCATGTTAAACATTTCATATTGTCCTCACGGTTCCAATTATAACATCAAATGTCCATATTAAGCACTTTCATTTTTTAAGCCCCCAGTTTTGATTGGTCAAATTAAATCGCTTAATTTTTATTTTTTGTTTAAAAAAGATCGATGGATCCGGTCATCTTTTCCTGCCCCCCCCCCACACACCCCCCCTCCCGCTTTGCCTTTAGAATTCACAATTTAATTATTTTTCTTTTTAAATAAAAACGTTGGGCCCTTACACAACGTATCCCCAGACGATGCCCCTGTTTCCTCTCTGCTTCTTATGATATACGGTAACTGCCCTAACTGCGTTTAATATTGTGTTGGCGTCGCTTGATCTACGCACAGATCGCTCTGGTCTTATTAAGTAATGAATCACACAGCATTCACCAAATTATCCTGATTGACATAATCGTTTCCGTCTGCGGGACCAACCCTTATGACCTGCCTGCTGGATTGCGCTGTGATGTGTTCCAATGGTCTATAATAAAATGTACGATTAGCTTCCGCTACTTTGCGTGCCTAAATGGCTGATAATTTATTATGTACCATGTTGTTAGACGCACGTCATTTTCTATTTAAAAAAACCACCCTAAAGCGAAGTTGATTAAAAACTTGTTTCCTTCAATTATCTTCAATCCCCTGAGTTTAAATTAAGTAACAGAATTACAATCTGAATGGTATGATTTACATTTTTTAAAACATATTCTATTTTTTCACGAAACGAAATCTTAAGTCTTAAATTTAGGCCTAAATTATTTGTAAAAACAAGAACGGGTCTCATATTCTCAAAAATTTGTTTGTCCCAAAGGAAACGAGAAAGAGCTGTGTGTGCTCCATTCTAGAATATTTTTCTGTGTCACACATACATTCGCTTTGTTTTTTTTGTTTTTTTACAAAGGCCACGTAACAAAATATAAAAATACACAATGACCGGTATGACTCAGAAAAAAATAATTTCCTTTAATTATTCAATTAGGCTCTAGGTGAAACGGCAGAGCGTTCACGAAGTTCAGAATGTAGTGTTCCGTATCATTTAAAACGTTTGTTGATTTGTTGTGAGATACGATCCCCTGTTCGTTAATTATTGATAATTAGGAGGGGGGCAGACTGCATTCCGGTTAGCCAAAAAAAGGAAATGAGTAAAACAAAGTATGGGAAAACCCGACAAAGGAATGCAACAAAACGACGAACGTATCGACAGGAATCCTTCGTCAGCGAACAAACAACAGAAAATACAGAATGAAAAAAAAATAGCACTTAACTTAACTGAAAGGTTGTGTCCGATGGGGCAGCAAAAGGATTCGTTAATTATTGGTTGTCTTTTTTTAAAAAAATACTGATGTTGAAACTTTCTGAATAGTATTTACAAACATCTGACATGGTTATTTCAGGATCTTCCGTTAAATTTACCGAGGTTTGCCAACAACTGGTGTAGAGTACAGAGTAAATTTCATCTGGCATATTTATAGGATGAAATTTCTGATTTTAAATATTAAAATAGTTTATTGGAAAAAAAAGAATAATAAAGAAAATGATTCCACACTTTGCTCTTGTTTTGATTTGAGTTTTGGACCCAATGGGAAAATGAGGCATCAGTAATTGAGATGAGAATGGTAATAAGTTAATATTGTCATAAATTGTAATATCAGCGAGGCAAAGTGATCAGAACTCGATGAACCATTTGGTACATGCAGGTTAAGTATGAACAACGATGGCAACTCCTTAAGGTTTAATCATCTTATCATATTCAGTAACTTATATCCATTTGATCGAATTGCCACTTTTCTCCTTTTCTGATAACCATCGACCACTGATGTCTCTGTTAAACTTTAAAAAAAAAAACAACAACATTTTTAACAATGATGGTATGGATTAGTGTTTTAAAAAAAGGAGAAATGAAAATCAAAACTCAACCTTAGCAACGGATTTAAAACCAGAAAATTATTATTTTTTTTTAAAATTTGATTGTTGTGACCCTGGCCCTGCTCCAGTGGCGTAACAAGGGTTCTTGTCACCTGGTGCTATTAACTCGTGGTGTTAACCCCCTCCCCCCTGCCTTCCATGGTGGATTTCTCCACGTTAAAATAAGTCCACACTATACAAATGAGAATAACACAAAAAAAAAAAAAAAAAAAAAAAAAAAAAAAAAAAAAAAAAAAAAATTTACTTTATTAAAAAATTTATTTCCGTGTGACGTGTGTCAAAATGTACGTGTGATCGGTTATTTTTTGATGAAATTCGGTTCCACTGAGCCATTGTGTGCTCTATTAATAGGCATTTTTCTTTCAATTTGGGGTCACCGCCCCCCCCCCCACTGAGATGGTGTCACCCGGTGCGGTCTGCTCCCCCCCCTGCTATGCCACTGGTCTTCACCCAGTCTTGACTCATGCATGATAAACTGATACATACTTAAAATGATGATGATTATATAATTGCCCGGCATCCGTCTGCTTTCATCAGGTCTTTGAAATAAATAAAGCTAATTATTAACTTTAAACAAATATAAATTCAATGTAAACACCCGTTTGTCTTTGCTACTATGTTTTTTAGATATTGAAAACGCACTAGTCAATAGATCACGTCCTATAGCTACTAAATGTGATGATCAGTTGTAAGACGTTGCTCAACATTCGATTGGGCAATTACCAGACTTCTTGTCAACAGATTTTAATTATCTTTTAATTTGATTTTTTTTATTGATTAGTACCAAAGGGCACTAATAATGGAGAAGAAATATTATCTGAGTACAATATGTATGTGAAATAATTAGCCAAAGATAACATGTGAAATCATTAAATATATTATTCCCCCTCCCCCATCCGTCATAAGTATTAAGTACACTTACATTTCGCTACTCGTAATCAATCTAACACATTTAATCTTGTGTACAGATATCATTTCGATGTTCGTTTAAACTTGTAACTGCCATATTTTCTGGGCATGTTTCTGCACTGTTCTAAATCATATCAATCGTTTTTATTTGTACGACAGCATAATGTTATTTAAATGAATGTTTTACAAAGAATGCTATAGACAATTTAACATTTGCAAAATAGTTAATACAAAAAAAAAATTGTTTCTTTTTCTCACCTAATAACCAATTCAGGCTGTACTACTAAAAGAAATATTTTTTAAAAAAATTAGAAATTACATTATTTCAATACTGAAGGTAAAGATTGCAGCATGTGCGCGATTGACGCTCTAATAAAGGCGTATTTAAAATCTTGATAGTCTTATTTTAAAAATACTTTCATTCCTAACCATATTTTTTTTTAAAAGTGCTAATTTGTTTGTTTTTTTAAAGATATGACACACTAATTTTCTTTTCTATAAATACACCATAAAGAAAATCACAAAGAACAACACACAAGTGAATACACGAATTTGTATCATTTTGAAGATGTTAGACAACAACTCTTACATTGCTACGCGACCCGATGAAACCCATCACAGTGCCAGCTTCGATACAATCATAAGCGATGAGATTCGACGGTACTTTGAAGTCGTCAACTACGTTTTCCTCAGCGGATCCATCGGCCTCTTCGGAATCTTCGCCAACATCATCAACATCGTGGTGTTTATAAAGCAAGGCGTCACCGACTCCATAACCGTGAGCCTGCTGGGCCTGGCCATCTCAGACATGTGCGCCCTGGTGACACTTGAGTGGTTTACGGTCCTCGCAAACCCGTTGCTACTCAGGGCCGATATCCAGTTCGCTCCTTCGGAGTTCCAGTACCTGACCGCGGGATGGCCCCACGTTTGCTTCACGAGGATCACTTGTTGGATCACCTTTTACATTACCTTCGAAAGATGCATGTGTATCACATTTCCCCTTAAGGTCAAGGTACTTATAACACCGAGACGGTCCGGTATTGTGGTCATTCTCATTTTCCTTGTGTTTTTCCTGTCATTGATTCCAATGTATTATTCCAACTACTTTGGCTGGAAATTATATCCTGTCTACAACAGAACCTTCCTAGGACTTCTCCGCAGGGACAATTTCAAAGCATTGGAAAGTGTGACCTTGGGCCTGAATGTCACCCTCCAAATCACGTCCTTTTTGTCCACCATCTTAATCACGGCCGTTTTGGTCTATGAACTGAGAGAGAAAGCAAAATGGCGTACGATGTCAAGTAGCAACAGTTTGCAGACGACAACCAGGGAACATAAATTAGGGAAGATGATAATCCTCTTATCTTCCATTCTCATCGTGTGCTATCTCCCGGGCACCATGTTCAACATCGTTAAAATTCTAATTCCCGAATTCACCGTTTCTGGCAAGTACGAGAACGTCTTTAACACGGTCTGGTCGTTCGGTTGGATCTTCCAGGCCCTGAACTCCAGTGTTAACATTTTCGTCTACTACCACATGAGCACAAAGTATCGCTCTACGTTTCGCTCGCTAATCTGCGTGGTGAAGGCATCTGACACCTTGATAAAATAAGTCGAGGTTAAACTCGTAAATACATTTTATTTTCTCGTTATTGCGTTTTTAACAATTTTAAGAGGATTTTGTTTTAAGAGGTCAAGGCCAAATAAATCAACAGATATGATTTCTTGGAGTAGGCTATAATACTTGGCACAATTGGAGGCTTGTGAATGACACCTCGGAATGCAACACCCAATAATTACCCTCAAAATTGATCAACAAATTATTGGATGATTTTAATATATTTTTTCTTTCTCGCTTTAATGTTTGTATATGATATGTAATGCAATGATAACGTCAGTGTTTATTGTCATTCATCTCATTGAGGAAGAACATTCTTGCAAGAGATTGTGTACTGCATAAATCTAGTGACACGGTGTTTGGTCGTGCTCATAAAAAAACAAAAAAAAACAAAAAAACCCAAAACAACTCAACCTATATCCTACTGGAGTTCAGACTTAAATAAAGCATATGAAGTTAGGGGGGGGGGTGCCGTTTGGTAAGAGGAAGCAGGACGCACCAGAGGCTAAATATCTATATAAAAGAAATTGTTAAATTGTTTCGAAACAGCACCCCCACAAATATATGTCACGAGTCGCCACTGCTTGTCTCTATGAGGGTCCATACAAATGATGTTCACAGATCAAACACCGAGGCCTTCAAACGTTTCGAGGGGGAAGTTTGAGTGTGCTTGGCTCGTTCGTTTACCTACTATCCACAATAAGGAGTGAGCTGAAAGAGCTGCCGTTCTGTTAGTGTTATTGATCTCAGACTAATGGGTTGGGGGGGGGGGGGGTAACTGGGGGCACAATCTCCTAGCAAGAAAACGGGTTTCTAGAAAAAAAAAAATGAAAATTCCACATTTTTTTTTTTTAAAAAAAAAAAAAAGAAAAAAGAAACAAATGTAACAATTTTAAATTTTATTAATGTGACAAACTTTGTTATTATTTAAATTCTCTTAAATAATTTTCCTTACAAATATACAAAACATCAATGTTTGTGCTTGGTAAATGTTTTGGTCATGATCGAGATGTGTTAAGATTCTTAATCGTAAACCGGCCAGTCTTTCTATGACGCACTTCTTTTGTTATATTAGTTTATCTTTGACATTCTTCTGTCTACTGTAGACGATGGTGTGTGCTTGAAATTAATAATATACAATGCCATCATCTTCTTTCTTGTCTTAAAAATCTAATATATTCAGTCACGTGACATGATTTAGAGTGTTTTTTTTTTATATAATCACACAAAATATGTTCGCTGCAGTGCCAAGAAATAATTCTTCAAAACTTTTTTTCCATAATTCAATTAATAGTAATTTTTAAAAAAAATGTTTTTTATGTATGCATCAATGATCTGTCAGTATTAATCCCTATCAAATATGCAATGGCGGAGATAACTATGTACAAAGATCAAGCAACAGATTCATCCCAAAAAACCAAGTCAGTGCTAACAATATTTCTGTTTCAAAATATACGTGAGAAACAATAATTATCTTGAAAGTCTTTTGATAAGAGAGCACAAACTTGCTTAACAGACATTGGACAAAACAGCCACGTGTCGCAATATTAACCCAAACCGTATCTGCAACTGATTACATCTAACTAGAAAGTCTTGAGAAAAAATAACGAAAGTTAACTTAAAAGAATTCACCATGGGAAAAATGTTTCATTAAATATTCAACTTCTAAAAAACATTTTAGTAGTGGCCATAGACAGGCTGACACTTTTCACTAAAACGTCACCCCCCACCCCCCACGATGGTCTGCCTGGCACGTGCCAAGATTTTTTTTCACTACTGTTATGATCTCTTGTATTTACATCTGGGACCCACACGTTCCTACATGGGGCATTCTCTCAGTGTTGGCTCGTACACTGAAAATGATCTCATAAAAACAACTATATTGACCGGTGTAAAAGCAGACATGGAATAGCAGGATTTTTTTAAACGGGTAATTCTTGTCGGAATACTATATATATGTATGTATATTAAAGATGAGAACCGTGACAATAACAAATACATTAAACATTACCATTCATTAAAACGTGTTTTAAAAAAAAGAAACTTTCAAAGAAATAATTTTAATGAAACCATGAGCTACCGCAGTATAGAAACAGCTTTTACATTCATGATTTGAATCCGTTAATGGATCCATACATAGTACGTACATTATATTGGCATCGGTGATACTATTATCAAATGTTAATTTATTACTAAACAATAATATTCAAAATATATTTGTAATGAGAATCTAAAATTATTCTTTTTTTTTATTTACTCATGCGGATTTTATAAAAAAAATATATATAAGCTGTTATAAACATACGCTGATATAGGGTTATTGTGGATAATGATGAATTGATATGGTAGGTTTGAATAAAAAACAGCCCCCCCCCCCTGTTTTAGATGTATACCCTAAGACTCACACAGAAGGTATGAAGGGTTCAAGAAGAGTATGAAACAGCGCCAACTGTTTTATTCTCATTGCACATCACCGACAAGACATACTAAACTCGCATTATTTCAACAATGACGACATGACATCTGCCTCGCTTATCAATAATTGGTAATCGTTCAATATGTTTCATTTGTTGCTTCGTCGAGTGTCAATTCCTATAATTGTCTTACCATAGAATAACAGGTCTCGCTCCAGTATCTTATGGGCCATCTCCTGAGTGAGGATTTGTCGTCTTCTCAGCTTGTGCTCTTCTATTTTAAATTAATCCCTAGGTTTTTTCGCCACCATTCCATTTGAAGAGGTTTTGAATAAAAATCACTGGCATAAACCATTTTTTTTAAAACCATGCATTTCGCATAAAACGTTAAAGATCTAGTCCCATTTTCCCCCAAAACGGAATGATTAATCTCTGGGCTCCTAAAGTATTCGGAATCAATAAGAACGTGCCTCGTTTACACAGATTATGCACTTTGTCCCCTCCACCAATCATTTTTGTTGTGAGTAAACACTTAAAAAAAATTCATAATTATTTAATCCTTCTTTCGAACAATGCAATAGTAATTTTGAGTAACCCCCTCCCTTCCTCCCGACCCCCCCCCCCCTTTTTTTTTTTTTTTTTTTTTTTTTAACAAATAATTTTTTGTGCATCCCACTTAGATAAAAATGAAACTATTTGGACATTCTGTTGAACTTTAAACTTGACGCAACTTGCCAAATACTTGAAACAATTTATCTGTTTAGTTTTACCCGCCTTTCTACACTTGTTGAAATTAACATCACTTTCCGTAGGAATGTTCAGATTAGCTTCCTTGGTTACAAGATTATAAGTAACTGGAGGAAACCATGGCCACCTGGTAGGTCTAATCAAGAGGAGCAAACGCCAAATTGGTTTTCTTTTCATTCTTTGGCTGTTAAATATATCGTTGTGTCCACACCCTTACAATTATAACATCAAATGTACATATTAAGCACTTTCATTTTTTAAAGCCCCCAATTTTAATTGATCAAATTAAATCACGTAATTATTATATTGGTGTAGAAAGAGGTCGCTGGTCGCGGCCATTTTTTCTGCGCACCCCCCCACCCCCATCCCCCTCCCCCCCCCCCATCCAAGCTTTGCCTTCAAAGTTCATAGTTTAATTATTTTTCATTTTTTAAATCACAACTTTGGAACCTTTATACATCGTATAGCCAGACGACGTCTCTGTTTCTACTCTGCTTCTTATGATAAACGGTAACTGCCCTTACTGCGTTTAATATTGTGTTGACGTCGCTTGATGTACGCAAAGATCGCTCTGGTCTTATTAAGAAATGAATCACGGAGCATTTACCAAATTACCGTCATAGACATAATCGTTCCTGTCTACGGGACCACCTTGATGGCCAGCTCTGCTTGATGGGGGTGTGATGTGTTGCAATGGTCTAAAATAAAATTTAGGATTAGCTTCCGCTATTATGCGTGCCTAAACGGCTGATAAATCTATAATGTACCGTGTTGTTAGACGCACGTCACTTTCTATTTTTTGAAAACAATCCACTTAAGTGAAGTTGATTATAAAATGTATTTCATTCAATTATCTCCAACCATGTGAGTTTTAGGTAGATAACAAAATTACAAACTAAAACTTATTATTTAAATTTTTAAACATATATTTTTTTCAATGAAACGAAATCATAAGTCTCAAATTTAGGCCTTAAGTATGTCACGACAAGAACGGGCTCATATTTTAAATGTTATTTTTGGGTCGAAAGGGAACGTGAAATTGCTGCATGTGCTCCATTCTAGAATCTACTTCTATGTAACACTTAAATTCACTTTTTTGTTACAAAGGCAACGTCACCAAATATAAATTACACCATGACCTGTTCGACTTAGAAAAAATAAATTCATTACATCATTTATTTCTTCTAATAAGCAAATCTGAATGTTCTGCGCTTTCATGAAGTTCAGAGTGTAATGTTCTGTATCATTTTAAACGTGTTTTGATTTGTTATGAAATCTGATCATCTGTTTTTTAATTATTGGCTGTCTACAAAGGTAGAATGTAATTAATGAACAAACTATTGCAACTTCCACAAGGTCTTACAATTCCATATCACGATATCAATTCATCGCACTTTAAAAAAAAAGTTTCAACAAACTTTAAGTTCACATTTTGTAAAGCTGTTTGTTGTTTCAACGCCATGGACCCAAAGTGTTCCGGCGCCTAGTGCTGATGTGTGTGCCACTGTTAGTAACACAATCCTGAGATAATCATCTGACACACACAGGCTTGGGTAGTTTAGGCTTACAGATTTCGGGTGTTTAAGCCTACAGACTTGGTGTGATTATGCCCACACCCTTGAGGTGTTTTGGTTTGATACAGCCACTGATTGAATACGCCATCACAGGCAAACATACAACGTCTCAGTCTCCTTGCATCATTTCATGTTGAAAATATTAAATTGCTAGGTTACTTCACAATCCAATAAGCGTAGGCAAACATCAATGTTAGTTAAACGTTCAATTTCATGAGAACAACATGGAGCCCTACCAACATGGTGCACAACGAGACAGCATAAAAAAATGACGTCACTACACAGCAAACAATGTGGTGTGCAAAACAATGCGTAATTAACATTCTGTATTTTGTAATTTTCCAACAGTAACATTAACAAGCAGGTTTAGCTTGCATAAAAAATAACCTTACATTTATTGTCTGTAACAAATTCACAATGCCCCAGGTGAGAAATTCACATATATTATAACTTTTAGGCAAAAATTACTAGGAATTCTCAGACTTGTGCTGTCATCCCGATTTGAAAACACGTATGATCATTAGAAGGAGCACACAACCGCTGATATATATCTATAAATACTGATTCGATTGTACGTCGACAAAGATTTTATACTTGATATAAAATATATATATATATATATAATATATAATATATATATATAATATATAATATATATATAAATAGTCATATTTATCCGCTACACGTTATTTAATTTGTTTGACATGAAGACAATCTACAAATATTGTTTACATACTTATATTGAAATTTCCTAAACTAGTATGTTAAAATACCTACACAAGGTTATGTGATCAACTTTCTGAGATTAAATTTTAAAATCATTTCTTTAAAAAAAAAAAGAATAATAAAGATAAGGATTACACCTTTTGAAATGTTCATTTTTTTTTTAATTTGACGTTTGACGCCAATTGGAAAATCAGTCATCAGCAAGTGCGCCTGGAATCGAAACAAATTAAATACAGTCATATACAGTAAACTTTAGCCAAGTGATCGGAACTTTATGAATCTATTAGAAAATTCATGTGAGGCATAAACAACGATGACAACTCCATTAGCTTTGATCATCTCCTCATATTCAGTCATTTCTATCCCTTTGATCTATTTGATCCATTTGATCCTTTACTTATAACAATTAACGACACATTTCTCTTATTTGTTTAAATTTAGAAAAAAAAACAACACTTTTTAACTATGGTGGCAGCCAAGTGTTTAAAAAGAGAAATTAAGTTTAAAACTCAACCTAACGTAGCAATTAATATGTTTTTTTCCTCATGAGAATATGAATTTGTCTGCAACCAATGTTGACTCAGACAGGATAAACCCGCACATTTATCATATGATGATAATATATAATACCCAGCAACTGCTCTCATAGATAACAGAAATAAATTAAGCAAATAGCAAGCTTAATAAAAACAAAAAACTAAAGGTCACTTTAAACCCGAGCTTGATATTCTTTTTGTTTAATATTGACAGTGCAATTGACGTGAGCACACACTAGGTCAATGAAAGCTCGACATTAGATTGGGGAAATATTATAAAATAAATCAATCAGCCGCATTTAATTAGATTCTAATTATTATTTATATTTTTTATTCATAATTACTACCAACCGGCACTAGTATTGGAGGAGAAATATTTTTAAATGTGTACACAATGTATATGAAATAACGAACCCTAGATAACATGCATAACCTTTAAACATAAGATCTCTACCCCCCTTAACTCCATTCTATTCCACTCAGTTATTCTCGACACCTCAAACACATCTAGTCGTGTGTGGACATCACTTCGACGTTCGTTTAAACTTGAAACTATCATATTTGCCGGGCATGGTTCTGCACTGTTCTAAATAATATTGATAGTTTTTATTGGTACGTAGGCAGAATGTTTTTCAAACGTATGTTTTAGAAAGAATATAAATTGAACATTACACTCTGCCTAAATATTTTATAGCACAAAAAAACCCAGAAGCCTTTCCTCAAAAAGTGACCTATTCATATTGCACTGCTAGAAGAAATATATAATTTTAAATATATATAAATATATATATATATATATATATATATTACATTATCACACCGCTGAATGTGAAGATTGCAGCATTTAAGCAATTGATGCTCTAATAAAAACATCTTCAAATATTTCATAGTCTTTTGTAGAATACTAAATATTTAATAACACAAAAAAACCCAGAAGCCTTTCCTAAAAAAGTGACCTATTCATATTGAACTGATAGAAGAAATATATAATTTTAAATATATATAAATATATATATATATATATATATATATATTACATTATCACACCGCTGAATGTGAAGATTGCAGCATTTAAGCAATTGATGCTCTAATAAGAACATCTTCAAATATTTCATAGGCTTTTGTAGAATACTCTTATGCAAAACTTAATACCTAAATTTTTTTCATTATTTCTTTGTGCTAATTTTATTTTTAGGTCAGCAACCAAAATTTATTAAATTGTTTTTCGTCCTTACAACATTAAAAACAAAAAAATATACGAACACAAAAAGAAAAAAAAAAAATATATATATATATTTGTATCCCTCTGAAGATGTTAGACAACAACTCTTACATTGGTACACGACCCGATGACACTTATCACAGTGCCAGCTTCGATACAATCATAAGCGATGAGATTCGACGGTACTTTGAAGTCGTCAACTACGTTTTCCTCAGCGGATCCATCGGCCTCTTCGGAATCTCCGCCAACATCATCAACATCGTAGTGTTTACAAAGCAAGGCGTCACAGACTCCATAACTGTCAGTCTGCTGGGCCTGGCCATCTCAGACATGTGTGCCCTGGTTACACTTGAGTGGTCTACGGTCCTCGCCAACCCGTTGCTGCTCAGGGCCGACATCCAGTTCGTTCCTTCGGAGTTCCAGTACCTGACCGCGGGCTGGCCTCACTTTTGCTTCACGGGGATCACTTGTTGGATCACTTTTTACATAACCATCGAAAGATGCATATGTATCAAATCTCCTCTTAAAGTCAAGCTCTTTATAACACCGAGACTGTCTGGCATTGTTGTCACTCTCATTTTCCTTGTGTTTTTTCTGTCATTGATTCCAATGTATTATTCCAAATACTACGGCTGGAAGTTCTATCCTGCCTACAACAGAACCCTACTGGGACTTCTCCAGAAGGACAATTCTAAAATATTGGAAAGCTTGACCTTGGGCCTGAATGTCACACTTCAAATCACGTTCTTCTTGTTTACTATCATAATCACTGCCATTCTGGTTTATGAACTGAGAGAGAAAGCAAAATGGCGCATGATATCGGCTAGCAATAGTTTGCAGACGACTACCCGGGAACATAGACTAGGGAAGATGATAATCCTCTTATCTACCATACTCATCGTGTGCTATCTCCCGGGCACCGTGTTCAACATCGTTGAAATTCTTGTCCCAGAGTTCACCATTTCGGGCAAGTACGAGAATGTGTTTGAGACGGTCTGGTCGTTCGCTTGGATCTTCCAGGCCACAAACTCCAGTGTTGGCATTTTCGTCTACTACAACATGAGCTCAAATTACCGCTCGACGTTCCGTGCAATAATCTGCGGGGTGAAGACATCTGACCCCTTCGATAAAATAAGTCATGGTTAAACTCACTTGTTAACACAATTTTTTTCTTTCCGTATTTTAATTTTTTTTTTTTTTATAGTTTTTCGTTTTAAAAGGTCGAGGTCAAATATATCAACAGATGTAATTTCTTGGCGTGAGCTATACTATTAGTATCTTTGGACCAGCGGTGGCTTGTGAATAGCAATGTTCAACTCCAGCACGCTACTCAAAAATTGATTAATAAAATATAGTCCAAGTGTAATATTTTTTTCTTTCTAGCTTTAACTCTTGCTCAATATTTAATACTATGATAATTTCGGTGGTCATTGTCATTCATCACATTGGTGAGAAAACTACAATAATGCTTGCATGGAGCTGTGGACTTCATAAATCGAATGACACTGTGTTTGGTCGTGCTCCCAAAAGAAAAAAACAACCTATTTAGTGGAGTTCAGACGTCACGCGTGAAGCTCGTTTCACGACAGCCCTTTTTTTTCAACTCAGTACTATTAATACTGAGGAGTGGGAATGGGGAGCCGGTTGTGAAGAGGAAGCAGGACGCACCAGAGACAAAATTAAGATGTGCCAAAAACTTTTCTGAAACAGCATGCCCACAAATTTATGTCACGAGTCACCATTGTTTGGCCCTATCAGGGATCAAAAAAAGAAAGGCCTCCTGACGCCACAGGGGATGGTGAAGTGCGCTTTTGTTCGTTCGTTTACCTACTATGTATAGAGTGTGAGCTGAAAGAGCTACCGGTATGTTGATTTTATTGACCTCAGAATAATGGCGGTCACTTGGTGCACGATGTCTTAGCAAGAAAACTAGCTTCTTAGACAAAAGATAATGAGAATTCATGTATTTTTGTAAAAAAGGAAAAATATAACAATTTTAACCCAACACAAATTTTAACAGCTCACAAGTTTAATGTGAAAAATGTGTTATCATTTAAATTCGTCTATAAAAATTTCCTTAATAAAAATACCCACCCCCCCAAAAAAAAAATATTTAAAAAAATCAATATATTTCTGGCTTGTGAGGATGTTTGGTAAATGGTTTGTTACGCCTCATGTCCATGATGGAAATGTTTGACTATATTCTACAACGTAAACCGACCCTGCTTGTGTAATGCCATGCTTCTTTTATTACAGTACTTTATCTTTGGCATTCGTCTGTCTTCTTTAGACGACGATGTTGTTTAAATTAATAAAACGCGGTGACAGAGTTACTCTTCATTCATTAATCGGCGCACGCTAACTGCAAGTCTTAGAGTTGAGAATTCAAAGGCATCGGTTGAAATACAAAAATGTCATGTTTAAATAGATTTAAAAAAAAAAATATCATCATCTTCTTCTTTGCCTTAATGATCCAATAGCTCCGATTATGTGACATGATTCAGAATTATATTTCCTGATATAATCACAAAGCAATTTTACTGCAGTACCAAGTAATAATATTCTAAAAATGATTTTTCTCTTATTCGCCTTCTTATCAATCCATGATATGTCGGTACAATCCCCGTCCAAAAAAGTGATGACCGGGATAACATGTACGCATAACAATAAACAGATTTGTCCCGAAAACTAAGCCGGCTCTAACAATGTTTCCGTTTCAAAATATACAGCTAAGGACTTTAGACGAAACATCCACAAGTTAGCTGCCCGCAGCTTGAAAGTCTTTGAGACAAAAGATGGACAGTTAACGGCGAAAGACCTCACAACGGAATAATGTTTCATTCTAAAAAAAAAATATTAAACATTCAAAACATTGTAGTAGCGGCCAGAGACTGGCTGACACGTTGCATTAAAACGACTCCCGGATGATCTGCCTGGCGCGTGCCAAGATTGTAAACCATGTTTGTGTTTACATCTTGAACTTGCACGTTCGTACTTGAAGGCGTTCCCTCGGGGTAGGCTCGTAAACCATCTCTAAACTCATACAAAATACTAAATGACATCTTTAGTAGTCGAAATGAAAAGATAACCATTTTAAAAAAATCTTTTTAAATGGAACTGATGTGGGAATAACAAAAAACACGAACAAACAAAAGGGATTAACAATTAGAATCATGAACATACCAAATACATTTTAAAAAAATACATTCATTGCAAATATGCTTTAAAAAAATTATGGGAATAACTATATATTTAAAAAGAAGTTTCCGTATGATATAAACGAACTTTACATTCATGCTTTGGACGTATGGTATTGTCTTTATCACTACATAGTATATTATTTGGGCAGCAGGCATGCGCTTATGAAATATTTATTTTTACTATACAATAAAAGACAAAATAAAAAAATATATATACAATATATTAAACGAGAATGCGATTTCCGGTTACCGGTTTTGAAGTTTTCCTTAAAAATTTGAATGAACGTACCATTTTACAGAAGAAAAAAAATTGTGCGTTCATTCACAAATTTGAGCGTGTGAACTGATCTGAGAAAATATCATGTCAGTCTGACCTTGTTCTGAGGCACATTTGGGACTGCATTTAAAAAAAACAACAAATAAACGGTTTCAACCCATGATATTAGTATCCCTGGTTAATATTGTGTCGTCGACAAACCTATTACTCTTCCTGTTAATCGTCCGCAAGTTCACACTATTATGCATACAAGCAATAGCTTAAACGATTTGCAAAAAAAAATTGGTTTTATTTCTTTGCTCTAAGGCAGGACGTTAATGTTTCAAGTCGTTTTCAGTGTCGTGATATTTCGACGTTCAGCCCACGCAATGAACATTACGGCGAGAGTGGTTCATATCAACACTCCTGGAGTCCACCTGCCAGTTGTGCGATTGCATAGCTCAATGCTACATTTCATTAAGGGTTTATGAGAAAAAAATATATTTTTTGAAAGGGATATTACATTTAACTTTAAACCAAACTTGCATCTTTTTGTCATGGCAAGTAAAAAAAAACTGTCTTTGGCATTTCAATGTTTAGAAAACATAATCGTTTTTGTCTGCGCAACCACCTTTAAGGCTAGCCTCCTGAATGGGTGCTTGATGTGTTACAATGGTCTAATGCTGGGAGTGTGATGAGTTAAAATGGTCTAATGCTCGGGGTGTGATGTGTTACAATGGTCTAATGCTGGGCGTGTGATGTGTTATAATGGTCTAATGCTGGGCGTGTGATGTGTTAAAACTGTCTAATGCTGGGGCTTGATGTGTTACAATGGTCTAATGCTGGGGGCTTGATGTGTTACAATGGTATAATGCTGGGGGCTTGATGTGTTACAATGATCTAATGCTGGGGGCTTGATGTGTTACAATGGTCTAATGCTGGGGGCTTGATGTGTTACAATGGTATAATGCTGGGGGCTTGATGTGTTACAATGATCTAATGCTGGGGGCTTGATGTGTTACAATGGTATAATGCTGGGGGTGTGATGTGTTACAATGGTCTAATGCTTGGGGTACGATGTGTTACAATTGTTTAATGCTGGGGGCTTGATGTGTTACAATGTTCTAATGCTGGGGGTGTGATGTGTTACAATGGTCTAATGCTGGGGGTGTGATGAGTTACAATAATCTAATGCTGGGGGTGTGATGAGTTACAATAATCTAATGCTGAGGGTATGATGTGTTACAATTGTTTAATGGTATAATGCTGAGGGTGTGATGTGTTACAATGGTCTAATGCTAGGGGTTTGATGAGTTGCAATAATCTAATGCTGGGGTGTGATGTGTTATAATGGTCGAATGTTTGGGGCTTGATGTGTTACAATGGTCTCATGCTGGTGGTGTGATGTGTTACAATGGTTTAAATATAATGTACGATTAGCTTCCGCTATGATGCGTGTCAAAATGGCTGATAATTTATAATGTACCATGTTTTTCAGAAGCCCGTCATTTTCTTTTTTTAAAAGCAATCCACTAAAGTGAAGTTGATTAGAAACTGTGTTTCATTCAATTATCTCCAAGTTCTTAAACATACATTTTACAACGAAACGAAATCATGAGTCTCAAATTTAGGCGTTACAACGAGAACGATCTCATATTTTAAATATTATTTCGGAACGTTAAAGAGCTGCATGTGCTCCATTCTAGAATCTATTTCTACGTCACACATACATTCATTTTTTTACAAAAGCAACGTCACAAAATATGAAATACACCATGACCTGTATGACTTAATTAATTACATTATTAATTCACCCTCATGAGCCAATCTGAATGTGCTATGATTTCATGAAGTTCAGAGTGTCGTGTTCTGTACAAGTTAAACGTTTGTTGATCTGTTATGAAATGTGATCATCTTTTTTTTTTTTAATTATTGGCTGTCTTCAAACAAACATAGAATGTAATTAATGAACAAACTATTGCAACTTCCACAAGTTCTTACAATTCCATATCACGATATCACGTCATATCAAAATTAAATACAGTAACATATAGTAACATTAGCGAAGTGTTCAGAACTTTATGAATCAATTAGAAAATGCATGTGTAGCATAAACAACGATGACAACTCCATTAGGTTCGATCATCTCCTCATATTCAGCAATTTCTATCCCTTTGATCTATTTGATCCATTTGATCCTTTGCTTATAACAATTGACGACACATGTCTCTTCTTTTTCTTTAATTTTAGAAGAAAAAAATACTTTTAACTATGGTGGTAGACAAGTGTTAAAAAGGGGAAATTAATTTAAAACTTAACAAAACGTGGAAATGAATTCTTTTTTTTCCTTATGAGAATATGAATTATGTGATCATTTACCTGAAACCAATGTTGACTCAGACAGGATTAACCCGTACATACATATGATGATAATTTATAATACCCAGCAATTAAATGGTATCATAGATAACAGAGATAAATTAAGCAAATAATAAACTTTAAAAAAACAACAACTAAAGATCACTTGAAACACGAGAATGATTTTTTTTGTTTAATATTGACACTGCAATAGATGTGTGCACAGGGTAGGTCAATGTGATAATTAGTATGGGAAAGCTCAACGTTTTATTGGGGAAAGTGTTATAAATTATGTCAATCAAGCGTATTTAATTAGATTCTAAGTATTATTTATAATTTTTATTATTAATTAGTACCGAAGGGCACTAGTAATTGAAAAGAAATATTACCACATGTGTACACAAGGTATATGAAACAACGAACCAATATTAACATGGGTAACCTTTAAACACTATCTACCCCACTCCCCCCCCCTCCCAATTAACTCCATAAATGCACTTACGTTATTCTCAACAGCTGAAACACATTTAGTCTTGTGTGGAAATCACTTCGACTTGCGTTGAAACTTGTAACTGCCATATTTTCCGGGCATGTTTCTGCAATGTTTTAAATAATATTAATAGTTTTTATGGGTACATCTATAGGCAGAATATAATTGAAACGTATGTTTTAGAAAGAATATAAATAGACCATTAAACTCTGCCTAAGTATTTTTAGTAAAAAAAACACAGTAGAGTTTTCTCATGAAATGACCAAGTGATATTGCACTGCTAGAAGAAATATATATATTTAAATATATATACATATATATATTACATTACCAAAAATGATGACTGTGAAGATTACAGTATGTTGGCCATTGATGTTTTGATCAAGGCATCTAAAAATTCTTGATAGGCTTTTGTAGAATACGTTTATGCAAAACTCAATGCCTAAATTTTAATTATTTCTTTGTGCTAATTTTATTTTTAGATAACCAAAACTATTTTCTAAACGAGTTTTTCATCCATACAACACTAAAAAAAATACGAACGCAAAGATAAAAAAAAAAGTACATATATAATATATTTATATCCCTCTGAAGATGTTAGACGACACTAAAATTTCTACGCAGCCCGATGAAACCTATCACAGTGCAAGTTACGATAAAATTATAAGCGATGAGATTCGACGGTACTTTGAAGTCGTCAACTACGTTTTCATCAGCGGATCCATCGGCCTCTTCGGTATCTTCGCCAACATCATCAACATCTTGGTGTTTACAAAGCAAGGCGTCACTGACTCCATAACCGTCAGTCTGCTGGGCCTTGCCATCTCAGACATGTGCGCCCTGGTAACACTCGAGTGGTTTACGGTCCTCGCAAACCCGTTGCTACTCAGGGCCGATATCCAGTTCGCTCCTTCGGAGTTCCAGTACCTGACCGCGGGATGGCCTCACTTTTGTTTCACAGGTATCACTTGTTGGATCACTTTGTACATAACCATCGAAAGATGCATGTGCATAACATTTCCTCTTAAGGTAAAGCTCTTTATAACACCAAGAATGTCTGGCATTTTGGTCACTCTCATTTTCCTTGTGTTTTTTCTCTCAATGATTCCAATGTATTATTCCAACTACTACGGCTGGAAATTTTATCCTGCCTACAATAAAACTCTGCTGGGTCTTCTCCACAGGCATAATTTCCAATTATTTGAAAGCGTGACCTTGGGCCTTAATGTCGCCTTTCAAATCACGTTCTTCTTGTCCATAATCATAGTCACTGGCATTCTTGTTTGTGAACTGAGAGAGAAAACAAAATGGCGCGCGATGTCGGCTAGCAAAAGTTTTCAGACGACAACCAGGGAACATAAATTAGGGAAGATGATAATCCTCTTATCTTCCATTCTCATCGTGTGCTATCTCCCGGGCACCGTGTTCAACATCGTTAAAATTCTCGTCCCAGAGTTCACCGTTTCGGGCAACTACGAGAATGTTTTTGAGACCGTCTGGTCGTTTGCTTGGATTTTCCAGGCCACCAACTCCAGTGTCAACATATTCGTCTACTACAACATGAGCTCAAAGTACCGCTCAACGTTTCGCGTGGTTGTATTCGGGGTGAAGGCATCTGAACCCTTCGATAAAATAAGCCAAAGTTAAACTCATTCGTAAAAACACATTTTTTCTGTTATTCATAATAAAGAAAAATATAGGTTTTCGTTTTAAGATGTCGTAGCCAAATATATCAACAGAGGTTGTTTCTTAGAGTGTCTTTTCATTCTTGCTTTAACATTGATACTAATTGATACTATGATAACGTAATGACAATAATGCTTGTATGTAGCTGTGGACTTCGTATATCAAGTGACACTGTGTTTGATCAAGAAAAAATCAACCAATTTACTGGGCTTGAGACGTCACGATGGAAGCCTGCTGCGTTACAGCCTTTTCCCCCACTCAGTACTAATAATACTGTGGAGTTTGGGGGGGGGGGCTGTTCTGAAGAGGAAGCACTACGCACAAGAAGCAAAAATAAGATGTGTCAGAAAATGTTCTGAAACAGCATGCTCACAAATATAAGTCGCCACTGCCTGCCCATATTAGGGTCCAAAAAAAAAATCTGTACCTATCAAACATCAAGAACTCCAGACGCCTCGAGGAGGTGGTTAAGTGCGCTTTGGCTTGTTCGTTTACCTACTACCTACAACAAGGTGTGAGCTGAAAGAGCTACCGGTATGTTGGTTTTATTGATCTCAGACTAATGGGGGGGTCACTTGGTGCACAATGTCTTAGCAAGAAAACTGGTTTCTAGACACAAGATAATAAGAATTCCCGTATTAAAAAAAAAAAGAAAAAAATCAATAATTTTAACTTAACAAAAACGATAACAGTTAACAAAGTTAAAGTGAAAATGTGTTAGTATTTCAATCCTTTAAAAGACTTTTCCGTAATAAAAAGACAAAGGAAATAAAAAAATTGCTGGCTTGTGAGGATGTTTGGTAAATGGTTTGTAAAGCTTCAAGTCCATGATGGAATGTTCGAATATATTCAACAACGTAAACCGACCTTGCTTATGTAATGCCTTGCCTCTTTTGTTACATTAGTTTATCTTTGGCATCCGTCTGTCTTCTTTAGACGACCATGTTGTTTAAATTAATAAAACACAATGACAGAGTTACTCTTTATTCATAAATCGGCGCACTCTCACCGCAAGTCTTAGAGTTGAGAATTCAAAGGCATACGTTCATAAATAAAAAAATGTCATGTTTAAATAGATTTTCCCTAAAATATCATCATCTTCTTCTTTGTCTTAATGAAAAAATTTTGCTGCAGTACCAAGTAATAATCTTTTAAAAATGATTTTCTCTTATTCGCCTTCTTATCAATCCATGATATGTCGGTACAATCCCCGTCCAAAAAAAGTGATGACCGGGATAACATGTACACATAACACTAAACAGATTTGTCCCGAAAACTAAGCCAGGTCTAACAATGTTACCGTTTCAAGATATACAGTTCAGGACTTAAGACGAAACATCCACGCGTCGTCGCTATTTTTTTTAAAAATCGTTCAAGTTCGCTGCCCGCAACTTGTAAGCCTTTGAGACAAAAGGTGGACAGTTAACGGCGAAAGACCTCACCACGGAATGATGTTTTATTCTAAAAAAAAAATGTTAAACATTCAAAACATTTTATTAACGGCCAAAGACAGGCTGACACGTTGCATTACAACGACTCCCGGATGATCTGCCTGGCGCGTACCATGATTGAATACCACTTTTATCATCTCCTTTGTTTACATCTTGAACTTGCACGTTGGTACTTGAAGGCGTTCCCTCATGGATGGCTAATAAACCATCTCTAAACTCATACTAAATATTAAATGGCATCTTTCACAGTCGAAATAAAAAGATAAGGATTTTACAAAAAATATTTTTAGTTGTAAATGATGTGGATTAAAAAAAAAACACGAACAAACAAAAGGGATTAAATATTAGAATCATGAAAATGCATAAAGTGTTTCTACCCACGACTCACAAATCTTTAGTATCTTTCGGGATTTGTTCTGATGGAGGGAAGAGAACTACCAGAACGACCGATATACATAGATCTCTTATCTTTCTGGCAATCTCCTGATGGAGGGATATGAACAGATTATGTTTTTTTTTCGTTGACTCAGCTTGTGTTCCTCTATTTTATATTAACCCTTGATTGTTTTGTGTCAATTCCTGAAAAACAACAACACAGCTTTATTCGTTTGAAGATATTTTAATGGAATGCGAGGGAACATAAAGCAAAATACATGAGAGCGATGACATGAGACGCTATGTGATGAACACGAACGTCAACCTAAGTCATTAATGCTGAATGGAAATATTTCCTGGCAATAATGTTTTTCGGGGACTTTTTAACAGAGATAAGATGTTTTAATTTTTTTTTAAATCTATTAAAATTTAACAGTAGCAAATTAGGGAATAATATCGTGATATTATTGTTTTTAAAAATTATCAGAAAATAAACTTGACCTTACAATTAATCAGCAATCTTCTTACAACTCAAAATGCCAATGACTTCTAACATCTCGTAGATCTCTAAGTGAACAATTTTATATTGATTTTTTTTTAGTATCAAAGTTTTTTAATATCATCTTAACTGATTTTTTTCAGACATTAAAAAAAATGATTACTATTATTATTGTGTGTGTGTGTTTGTGTGTGTTAACTCACTTTAAAGCAAAAAGACAAATTTGTTTAAACATATAAAAAATCTTAAGGATTGTATTTCTATTTAAACTAACTTCTTAACTCCATTTTCACAATATGTCCTAAATGACGTCATTAACATTTAAGTTGAGTCCTTTGTGGTCAGGACAAAGACATCTTGATTTGAAATGATACATTTGTCTTTCCTTTTGTTGTAAACATTCAGTACTTCTGTGATTTAAAAAAAACTATTTAAAAAATCTAGGAGCTATTTAATGAAAGTTGTGTTGTGAATTGTGGGTCTCAGAGCGTAGATATGGCTCGATGACGATGCTCCACGCATTTCTCTTTTGTAAGAAGCTAATCAGTGAGTGAAAATACACGTTGTTGTATATTGTATAGGGACAGAAAACAAGGAGCGGACAACTCATCAATAGAAGGAGCCTGATTAAAATATGATGAGTGATCGCATTTACAACAGCTGTGGGTCCGTTTGAGATGTAGGACCATGGATCGTTCCGGATGAAAGGATGCTGTGTGTTGGACGTGTGTCTATGTCCATGTGATAATTAATTCTATCTCCTCACCAATTACACTGTCAGTCGCATAAATGTTTGATTATTTGGGCATGTCCGAATACAAATTGCGTTTTCTTAATAAAAGACATTTTAAAGAAAAGACAATTTAAAGAAAAGACAATTTAAAGAAAAGACAATTAGTCTTTAAGCAAAATGGATGCCGTAAAAAGGAAGGTGGAGGCAGAAGGCGGTAAAGGGGGGGGGGAAGAGGGAGGTAAAGGGGGAGGCAGAGGGGGGAAGGGTGTTGTTAGTCTCTCTTAAAACACAGTAGCTTCCAGATAAAAAAAAAAAAGAAAGGGGGTTCCCCCCCCCCCCCCCCAACAATTAAACAGTCAACAGCCTTGTTATCTCCGATGGGAGATTTCGTTAAACCATCTGCACACGACACACTCATTAGACGTATCAGGATATTTCCTAACCCTACTCGTTCAGATATTCAGGCGTAGATTTGTTTCTTTATAGGCTCTCTTACTTCCCGAACCTCTCTTTCTCTCAATCTCTGTCTTTCTCTTGTTCTCGCACTCTCTCTATCTATCTCTCTCTCTCTCTCTCTCTCTCTGTCTCTGTCTACTATATCTCTCTATTTATTCCACTGTCTCTCCTTAGCACATTCTCTCTCCTTGTATCTCTCCTTGTCTCTCTTTTTCACTATTTCGATTTTATATCTCATTCTCACTCACTATCTCATAATTATATAAATAACTAAATATAAATATTTATATAAATCGATATAACCAGACATGTGGTAAATTGTGTTTTGTTACAAGGCATGATCATAAGTGCAGAACATATTTTAGTAATTTTGAGCTTAGAATGTATGATATAAAACCTATGTTATCAATGTGTCCAGATGTCACCTAATCTTCATACGACTTGTTAAGTCGTTGGGTCCTGAGTCAAATATAAATGTGTTCACCCTGCCCCCAATTGTTTTGAAATGATTAGTTTAAGGCATCATATTTCCCGTTTCATCTCTGATGACTTTTGTCATTGTGAGCAGCTTTATATTTTATCACCGTAAGGTTGTGATAACATACATATTTTATTCAAAATTTGGTCATACATCGCACGCCCCCTTCTGAAGGCTCTCCTTGTGAGGCAAACGTTAGAGTTAGTTTAAAAGCCTTGCATGCCGTGGGGTGCTCCAGTCCACCATTGGCTTTCTGATGAGCTAATATTAAGGATATTAAACGAGAATGCGATTTCCGGTTATCGGTTTTGAAGTTTTCCTCAAATATTTGAATGAACGTACTATTTTACAGAAGAAAAAAACAATTGTGCGTTCATTCACAAATGTGAGCGTGTGAACTGATCTGAGAAAATATCATGTCAGTCTGACCTTGTTCTGAGGCACATTTGGGACTGCATTTAAAAAAACAACAAATAAACGGTTTCAATCCATGATATTAGTATCCCTGGTTAATATCGTGTTGTCGACAAACCTATTAATCTTCCTGTTAATCGTCCACAAGTTCACACTATTATGCATACAAGCAATAGCTTAAACGATTTGCAAAAAAAAAAATGGTTTTATTGTTTTGCTCTAAGGCAGGGCGTTAATGTATCAAGTCGTTTTCAGTGTTGTGATATTTCGACGTTCAGCCCACGCAATGAACATTACGGCGAGAGTTGTTGATATTAAGACTCCTGGAGTCCACCTGCCACTTGTGCGATTGCATAGCTCAATGCTACATTTCTTAAAGGGTTTATGAGAAAAAACTTTTTTTTGAAAGGGATATTACATTTAACTTTAAAACAAACTTGCATCTTTTTGTCATGGCATGGAAAAAAATAACTGTGTTTGGCATTTCAATGTTTAGAAAACATAATCGTTTTTGTCTGCGCGAACACCTTTTAGGTTAGCCTACTGGATGGGTGCTTGATGTGTTAGAATGGTATAATGCTGGGGGCTTGATGTGTTACATTCGTCTAAACCTGGGGTTGTGATGTGTTACAATTGTCTAATGCTGGGGGTGTGATGAGTTACAATAATCTAATGTTGGGGGTGTGATGAGTTACAATAATCTAATGAATGGGGTGTGATGAGTTACAATAATCTAATGTTGCGGGCTTGATGTGTTACAATTGTCGAATGTTGGGGGCTTGATGTGTTACAATGGTCTCATGCTGGTGGTGTGATGTGTTACAATGGTCTAAAATATAATGTAGGATTAGCTTCCGCTATGATGCGTGCCAAATAGGCTGATAATTTATAATTTACCATGTTTTTCAGAAGCCGGTCATTTTCTATTTTTAAAAGCAACCCACTAAAGTGAAGTTGATTAGAAACTGTGTTTCATTCAATTATGTCTAATCCTTTGAGTTTTACTTAAATTACAGAATTACAAACTAAAACTTATTATTTAAGTTTTTAGACATATATTTTTCAACGAAACGAAATCATAAGTCTGAAATTTAGGCTTTAAGAGTGTTACAACGAGAACGGTCTCATATTTTAAATATTATTTTGGAAGTAACGGGAACGTTAAAGAGCTGCCTGTTCTCCATTCTAGAATCTATTTCTATGTCACACATCAATTAATTTTGTTACAGAGGCAACGTCACAAAATATAAAATACACCATGAACTGTACGACTTAGAAAAATAAATTAATTACATTATTCATTTATTCTAATAAGCAAATCTGAATGTTCTATGATTTCATGAAGTTCAGAACTTAGTGTTCTGTACATGTTGTTGAACGTTTGTTGATTTGTTTTGAAATGTGATCATCTGTTTTTTAATTACTGGCTGTCCATAAACAAAAAAAGAATTAATTAATGAACAAATTATTGCTACTTCCACGTCGTCTTTCAATTCTATATCACGATATCAATTCATTGCACTTTAAAAAAAAAAGATTTAACAGACTTGAAGTTCACATTTTGTAAAGTTGTTTGTTGTTTCAAACCCTTGGACCCAAAGTGTGCAGACGTCCAGTGCTGATGTGTGTGCCACTGTTAGTAACACAGTGCTGAGATAATCATCTGACACACACAGGCTTGGGTAGTGTAGTCTTACAGTTTTCGGTTGTTTAAGCCTACAGAATCTGGTGTTTATGCCCACACTATAGGGTTGTTTTGGTTTGATACAGCTACTGATTGAATCCACCAGCACAGGCAAACAGGCAACATTTTATCTACTGGCATCATTTCATGTATCTGTGGAAAATATTAATTTTCTTAGTTACTTCACAAGGAAGATAATCAAATAAGCATTGGCAAACGTCAAAGTTATTTAACGCATTATTTCATGGTAACAACATGGATCCCTACCATTATTGTGCACGACAAGACAAAAAACATGTCGTCACTACACAAAAAAACACCAAAAAATAATGTGGTGTTGTAACGCATATGCTCTGACATCATTGTAACTTAGTGGGTTATGTCAGTAGCATGGTCACTTGTTTTATGTTAATAATTCAGGATGCCGGCTAAGACTTCTTCATTCTTCCACTTATTATCCAGGCACGCAAAGAAGGATACTGAATTCTAATTAAACTTACAGTACTTTATTGAATCACACTTTACACAGATAATATTAATAATAATCCTTGCATGAATGTAATCATTTCACATATATATATATATATATATATATATATATATATATATATATATATATTATTCCATCACTCAGAAAGACACTTCCTCACACATACAGTACTTTATTGAATCACACTTTACACAGATAATATTAATAATAATCCTTGCATGAATGTAATCATTTCACATATATATATATATATATATATATATATATATATATATATATATATATATTATTCCATCACTCAGAAAGACACTTCCTCACACTGCTATAACTCAGCTCAACTGTACTATATCTCAACTCTAACTCAACTCTTCTGCTTTCAATCAACTCCACTGCCCCTTTTATTACCAGCAAAGCGTGGAAACGACCGCTTTGACAAAAACATAATTTCCTCTCCAAAAACGTGGAGTTCACATTTGCTTCTCAATAATACAATACACTCTCCTCGAGGCAAAACATGGTCAACACAATTCACTGTTCACTCATGCTACCTCTCTGTTTTCTTGTGAAAACATAGTCTGTTACAGGTGTTCACATCCCTCTGATGCAACCTTAAATTGTATCTTGCAGCCATAGCAATGACTGTGTGCATTGACTCAGATCTAAAAACTGGACAGAATGTCTCATAAAGTCAAGTCCATATCTCTTTGAGTAGCCTTGTGCAAACAACCGAGCTTTATGTCTCTCAGCGTTTACATTGATCTTGAACACCCATTTGCTTCCTTTTGGTAGGTCTACTAAGTCCCCGACTTCGTTTTCTTGAAGTGATTCAAATTCTTTATCCATCGCCGTTAACCATTGATACTTTTGTGAGCTCGTCTGTCTCACTGTACAGGGTTCTTCTAGATCTTTAGTCAAGTTTAACCATTGACTATAACGATTAAAAGGGCGTTTAACTCTCGCTGGTCGTCTGACATCTCGCTCCTCATCAACACATTCATTATCACGATCATCAACACGACTCACTTCTTCTTCAACATCATCATCAATGAATTCCAGAAATATAGGTGTTGAGTCCTTAGACATTTCAGTCTCCTTCTCAAGACCGATCTTGTTTTCATTAAACAGAACATCTCTACTGTAAAGAAACCTTTTCGTTTTCAAATTGTATAGGCGATAACCCTTGACATCGATTCTGTGGCCAAGAATAATGCATTTCTGTGTTTTTGTATCGAGCTTCTGTCTTTCATCTTTAGGAATATGTTCATACGCCACACATCTAAACACTTTTAGTTAATCGACACTGGTTTCGTACAGTTAACACCTCAGATGGTGAAGTACCTTGAAGAGTATTAACAGGACTTCGATTCTGCAGATATACAGCTGTTGACACTGCTTCTGCCCATAATGTGTATGGTAGCTGTGCCTCTGCCAGCAAGGAACGTGCTGCGTTCTCAATAGTCCTGTTCTTCCTCTCTGCTACTCCATTTTGTTCTGATGTTTTTGGAACAATCAGTTCATGACGAATAATCAAACAAAAATAGGCAAACATCAATGTTAGTTAAATGTTTCATTTCATGAGAACAACATGGAGCACGATAAACAATGTGTTGTGCAAAACAATGCGTAATTAACATGCAGCATTTTATCATTTTCCAACAGTATCATTGGCATTGATCAGTTTTAGCTTACCTAAAACATGGCCTTACATAAAAGTCTGTAACAAATTCAGGATGCCACAGGTGAGAAATGTACATACATTATAACTTTAAGGGCGAAACTCACTAGTAATTCTCAGGCTTTGTGCTTTCCTTCCACCTAAAACATGTGTGATTAAAATGATCAACTAACCGCTGATGGGACAGCCGTATAGATCTAAAACTACTAATTCAATTGTGCGTCATTTGACAAAGGTTTTATACTTGATAGAGACATGGTTATACGCTACACGTTATTTCATTTGCTGACTTAAAGACAATCTACAAATAACACACATTTAAATGCTAATATTGACATTTTATAAATTAGTATATTAAAATGCCTACACATGGTTATGTGATGAAGTTTATCAAATTAAATTTTAAAATCATTAATTTTACACATAAAAATAATTCAGACAAGGACTCCACAACCCACAATTCCATTTTTGTTTTGTTTTTTGACGTTTGACACCAATTGGAAAATCAAGCCTCAGAAATGCGCCTGGAATCGAAACAAATTAAATACAGTCACATATAGTAACATCAGCGAAGTGATCAGAACTTTATGAATCAATTAGAAAATGCATGTGTAGCATAAACAATGATGGCAACGCTATTAGGTTTGATCGTCTCCTCATATTCAATCATTTCTATCCCTTTGATCTATGTGATCCTTTGCTTATATTTTGATAACAACGGATTACACATTTCTCTTCTTTTAAAAAAAATTTTTTTGACATTTTAATTTTTTAAAATATACTTTTTAACGTGGTAGCCAAGTTTTTATAAGGAGAAATTAATTTAAAACTTAACCAAAAGTAGAAATGTATTTTTTTTCTCATGAGAAGAAGATGAATTGTGTGACCATTTGTCTGCAATCAATCCCGACTCAGGCAGGATAAACCCGTACATACATTATATGATGATCATATATAATACATAGCAATTAACTGCTAACATAGATAACAGAAATAAAATAAGCTAATTATAAACTTTTAAAAATTAAAGGTCACTTTAAACACGAGATTGATATTCTTTTTGTTTAATATTGACAGTGCAATTGATGTGTGTATACACCAGCTGAATGTGATCATTAGTGATCATTAGGTTGGGCAAGCTCAACATTCGATTGGAGAAATTATTTTAAATTAAGTCAATCGACCGATTTAATTAACTTATAATTATAATTATTTTTATTTATTATTAATTAGTACCGAATGGGGGGAGAAATGTTTTCAAATGTGTACATAATCTAAATGAAATAACGAACCCTAGATAACTTGTGTAACCTTTAAACATAGGAAAGCTATCCCCTTAAATCCATAACAGCTATATTATTCTCGACGATTCAAACACATTTAATCTTGTGTGGAAATCGCTTCGAAGTTCGTTGAAACTAAGTTTAAAGGCCTAGCTGTCATATTTTCTGCAATGTTCTAAATAATATTAATAGTTTTTATAGGTACTTTGGCAGAATATTAAACGTATGTTTTAGAAATGATATAAATAGAACATTAAAATCTTCTTTACAATCTTATAGAAAAAAAAAACTGTAGTCTTTTCTCATAAAATGACAATATAGATATATAGATAGATAGATATTGCAGCATGAAATTCATTGATGCTCTAATAAAGGCATATTCCAATTCTTGATAGGCATTTGTAAGATACTTTTATGCCAAACTCTTTAACCTAAATTTTAATTATTTCATTTTTCTAATTTCATTTATAGATTTAAAATAAAAAAATTCTTAACAAGTTTTTCATCATAAAACATTTTAACAAATACGAAGCGAAGAACAAAAAAGTAAATATATATATTGTATCCCTCTGAAGATGTCAGACAAGTCTTACATTGGTACACGACCCGAGGAAACCGATCACAGTGCAAGTTACGATAAAATAATAAGCGATGAAATTCGACGGTACTTTGAAGTCGTCAACTACGTATTTCTCAGCGGATCCATCGGCCTCTTCGGTATCTTCGCCAACATCATCAACATCGCGGTGTTTAGAAAGCAAGGCGTCACTGACTCCATAACCGTCAGCTTGCTGGGCCTGGCCATCTCAGACATGTGCGCCCTGGTAACACTCGAATGGTTTACGGTCCTTGCCAACCCGTTGCTACTCAGGGCCGACATCCAGTTCGTTCCTTCGGAGTTCCAGTACCTGACCGCGGGATGGCCTCACTTTTGCTTCACGGGTATCACTTGTTGGATTACTTTTTACATCACCATGGAGAGATGCATATGTATCACATTTCCTCTTAAGGTAAAGCTCTTTATAACACCAAGACTGTCTGGCATTTTGGTCACTCTCATTTTCCTTGTTTTTTTTCTCTCAATGATTCCAATGTATTATTCCAACTACTACGGGTGGAAATTTTATCCTGCCTACAATAGAACTCTGCTGGGTCTTCTCCGCAGGGATAATTTCAAAGTATTTGAAAGCGTGACCTTGGGCCTAAATGTCACCTTCCAAATCACGTTCTTCTTGTCCATCATCATAGTCACTGGCATTCTCGTTTATGAACTGAGAGAGAAAACAAAATGGCGCACGATGTCGAGTAGCAACAGTTTGCAGACGACAACTAGGGAACATAAATTAGGGAAGATGATAATCCTCTTATCTTCCATTCTCATCGTGTGCTATCTCCCGGGCACCGTGTTCAACATCGTTGAAATTCTTGTCCCAGAGTTCACCGTTTCGGGCAACTACGAGAATGTTTTTGAGACAGTCTGGTCGTTTGCTTGGATTTTCCAGGCCACCAACTCCAGTGTTGGCATTTTCGTCTACTACAACATGAGCTCAAAGTACCGCTCTACGTTTCGCTTGATTGTATTCGGGGTGAAGACATCTGAACCCTTCGATAAAATAAGCCAAAGTTAAACTCACTCGCAAACACACATTTTTTCTGTTATTCATTGTAAAAAAAAAAAAATAGAATTTCGTTTTAAGAGGTCATAGTCAAATATATCAACAGCTGTGGTTTCTTAGAGTAAGCTATATTACTATTAATTCGGCCCCATTGCAGAGTGTAAATAAAACTTTCCGACTCCAGCACTCCATAGTTTCCCTCAAAATTGATGAATAAAATTAATGTAAGAATAATTTGTTTTTTCATTCTTGATTTAACTTTGACATACTTTTTGATACTTTGATAACATAATGACAATAATGCTTGTTTGTAGCTGTGGATTTCGTATATTAAGTGACACTGTGTTTGATCGTGCTACCAAAAGAAAAAGAAAAACTGAACGAATTTGCCGGACTTGAGACGTCACTTGTGAAGCCTGCTACGTTACAGCCTTTTTCCCCACTCAGTATTATTAATACTGTGGAGTTTGGGGGGCGAGGGGGGGGAGACTATTCTGAAGAGGAAGCAGTACGCACCAGAAGCAAAAATAAGATGTGTCAAAAGATGTTCTGAAACAGCATGCCCACAAATATAAGTCGCAACTGCCTGCCCATATCAAGGTCCAAAAAAATCTGTACCTATTAAACTTCAAGAACTCCAGACGCCTCGAGGAGGTGGTTAAGTGCATTTTGGCTTGTTCGTTTACCTACTATCTACAACAAGGAGTGAGCTGAAAGAGCTACTGGTATGTTAGTTTTGCTCATCTCAGACTAATGAGGGGTGCACAATGTCTTAGCAAGAAAACTGGTTTCTAGACACAAGATAATAAGAATTCCAGTATTAAAACAAAGAAAAAAAGTAACAATTTTAACCCAACAAAAACGATAACAGTAAACAAATTTCATGTGAAAAATATGTTATTTTTTAAATCCTTTTAAAGTCTTTTCCTTAATAAAAATACAAAAGAAATAAAAAAATTGCTGGCTTGTGAGGATGTTTGGTAAATGGTTTGTAAAGCTTCAAGTCCATGGAAATGTTCGAATATATTCTACAACGTAAACCGACCCTGCTTATGTAATGCCTTGCTTCTTTTGTTACAGTACTTTATCTTTGGCATTCGTCTGTCTTCTTTAGACGACGATGTTGTTTAAATCAATAAAACACAATGACAGAGTTACTATGTATTTATAAATCGGCGCACTCTCACCAAAAGTCTTAGAGTTGAGAATTCAAACGCATCGGTTCATAAATAAAAAAAATGTCATGTTTAAATAGATTTTCACTAAACTATCATCATCTTCTTCTTTGTCTTAATAAACAATTTTGCTGCAGTACCAAGAAATAATCTTTTAAAAATGATTTTTCTCTTATTCGCCTTCTTATCAATCCATGATATGTCGGTACAATCCCCGTCCAAAAAAAAGCGATGACCGGGATAACATGTACGCATAACAATAAACAGATTTGTCCCGAAAACTAAGCCAGGTCTAACAATGTTACCGTTTCAAAATATACAACTAAGACAAAAGATTGAAAGTTAACGGCGAAAGACCTTACCACGGAATAATGTTTATTTAAAAAAAAAATTAAAATTAAACATTTAAACATTCAAAACATTTTGGTAGCGGCCAAAGGCAGGCTGACACGTTGCACTAAAAGGACTCCTGATGATCTGCCTGGCGCGTGCCAAGTTTGTCTACCACTTTTATCATCTCTTTTGTTTACATCTTGAACTCGCACGTTGGTACTTGAAGGCGTTCCCTCATGGATGGCTCGTAAACCATCCCTAAACATACGAAAATTTAATGACATCTGTGGCAGTAGAAATAAAAAGATACGGATTTTTTAAAAAATATATTTTTGGCTGTAAATGATGTGGATTAAAAAAAACACGAACAAACAAAAGGGATTAAATATTAGAATCATGAAAATACCAAATACATTTTAAAAGATTTACATTCATTGCAAATATGCTTTTAATAAAATGATGCGAATAACTATATATTTAAAAAGAAGTTTCCGTGTAATATAAACGAACTTTACATTCATGCTTTGGACGTATGGTATTATTATATTTATCACTACATAGTACATTATTTGGGCAGCAGTCATACCCTAATGAAATATTTATTTTTACTCTGCAATAAAAGACAAAATGTATATATAGTGGCATTTTAAATGTAATATTATAATTATTTTATTTTACTCCCTGCGGATTGAAAAGAAAAGGCTATGATAAAGGGAAGCTTTATACAAGGTGCTTGTTGACAATGCTTACATGGATATGGTATATTTGCATAAAATACAGCCCACTATTTTAGATGTATACCATTATGCTTACATTTTAAGCATACACGCTGGATACATTAAACACTGTTTTTTAAAAAATTCTCTCGTTGCACAAGAATGATTAGTCACAGATCAAAAACCGATCTGATTGCCCTGGAATGACCGGACATTCTAAATTCGGCTACTTCCAGCGCCGAAATCATCTGCTTCACGCATCAACGGGCTATTATTAAGTTTGATTCATTGTTGAGACGTGGCCAATGCATAACGTGTTCCTACCCACGACTCACAAGTCTTTAGTATCTTTCGGGATTTATTCTGATGGAGGGAAGAGAACTACCAGAACGACAGGTCTAGATCTCTTATCTTTCTGGCTATCCCCTGATGGAGGGATATGAACTGATTATGTTTTCTTCGTCGACTCAGCTTGTGTTCTTCTATTTTATATTAACCCTTGATAGTTTTGTGTGAATTCCTGAAAAAACAACAAGAAAGCTCTATTCGTTTGAAGATATTTTAAGAGAATGCGAGGGGACATAAAGAAACATACACAACCTCTTTTTACGCCTATAACACATATATAAATTTAAATTGTTAATCTCATAAAAATACACACCACGTTTCTTTTTGCAAAGTTAAAACAAAAATATATATATTTTTTTATTGTATTTATTAATTATCTCTATTTTTCACAATTAGTCTAGTTTTTAAAGCGTGTAAAATGATTGGGTTTTGATATTCATGGCTATACTTATATAAATGTACCCGAGATTTTTGAACGCCCTAGATTTTCTGACCACATCACCCCAGTTCTTCGAGATTGCCATTGGGTTCCTTTGAGTTAGTGAATTAACTACAACATTCTGTCACTGGTGTACAGCTGCATAGATGGCCCAGCACCGGAATATCCCAAAAGAACTGATTTATAAACATTTATCCTTGAAGAGCATGTGGTCTTCAACGCAGTACTTTCTGAGAGCTCCTCGTATGAATGAACACAGAAAAAAGTCTTTACCGAGTGCGCTCTTTTGAAGCGATAGCGCTAAAATTATTGGAAAGTTTGTCTCAATCTTTGAGGGAAATTGAAAATTATAAAAAAAATCATTTAAGAAACGGTTAAAAACTTTTGAAAAAATAGATTTAGGAAAACAGAGCGCAGTGAGCATGCTAAGGTGGCCTGGATACCAGCGCGATATAAATATCAAATCAATCAATCAATCAATTTTCTTAATTGGTAAACATATGTTTATTTGTAAAAAGAGAATGTAAATCTCTTTTTCACAAATCTAATACCATAAAAGTTAACTATATTGTCATCCACGTAAAAATGTACACATCTAATTTCCTACCTCGGACATGTATTTACCCAAGAAAATTAATTATTTATCAAATTTATTCCTTTATATTGAGACGTATCTTGTGCTGCCTGGGTCAACATGACCAACCCTTATCCTACCCGGATTTAAATTAAATTAGAAAATCTTCCACCAGATTTTAGTCCCATCATACCAAAACTAACATATTTCCCACTTCATTATGTTCCGTTCTTATTTGTATGAGTTATAAGTGGATTAGTGAATGCTATTTGTCTATGGAGTTGCGCTGCACTGATTGCAATAAACGGCATTTTCTTATTAGAAATATATCTAAAAGTTAAGTTTTTATTACGCCATAAATTTAATAAAAGTATATTTTTGGAATTAAAAAAGTAAGACATTTTTCCATTTTAAAAATACAATGCTAAAATTTGTGTGTGTTTTATTAACAATTTAAAGAGAAATCAATTAAAGTTATAAATTCTACTTTTAAGAAGGGGGAAATACTTTATCAGTTTCTTAACGCTTGGTTATTAAATGAATATTAACATCGCACTAAAAAACGCACTAAGAAACTGATATTTGGTTTTTCCGATAAAGTTGATTATCGAGTAATTCTTAAATCATAATTTTATTATGATTTTTTTCATAACTTTTAAATTCGGCTAAACTGCTTAAAATATATCCTTAGTTGTTACTTTAAATGTATTTGTAATTTATTGTAATAATGCTTAAAGTTTTACTAAAATAGTAGCGGATTTAAATTTTCTTTTTGCGCATTTAAATTTATTTGATTTCCGTAAAATATTAGAAAATAATTGTTATTGTTTTTAGGAATTTAAAGTACTTAAATCGTATCGATTCTTGGCGTTATGTCACTATAGCTCATTCTTATATATATATATATATATATATATATATATATATATATATATATAATATATATATATATATATATTATAGATGAATTTTTGTGATTGCGCATTTCGGGCCATATGATATGACTGTAATAAAGGTCCATGTTAGTTCCACTAAATAAGGTCCCCAAATAATAAATTTAAAAAAAAAATATTTTTCTCTGCGGCTAGGTCTGTCATGTACGTTCAATGGACTTTTTTATTTGGGGATTTAGCTAAAATGAACGTCTTTCCTGGGCATGGTTCTTAAAATAGTTGTTCCGATTAAAAAAGAACATTGTGTTGAACGTTGAATTACTTTGGCACCTGAACGCTGTAAAACGTGTTATTATTAAATAATCATTCCTAGACTGACGTGTCCAACCTTCATTTTCCGAAATAGCCGCAGACGTCACGAACGAAAAGTGAAATTCACCAAACTTTTTACAAGTCATAACACATTAACTAATAAATAAAATGATAATATACACCACTTGGTCGGCGCCTCTGACATTGAATTTATTATGTGTTCTAATTTCGCTAATTGTTCATTAAATTTTTAACTTTTTCTTCACTGCGTCCCTTTGGCGCCATATCAAGCTGTTGAACGTTGCTCTATACTTGGAGCTCATGTTGTAGTAAATTAATATGTTCACACTGGACGTCGTGGCCTGGAACACACCGCCAAACGACCAGGCCACGATGAACCAATTTTCATACAGTCCAGCCACAGTGAATTCCGGTATGAACATCTTCACCAAGTTGATGGTCACGCCTGGCGTGTAGCAGATGATCAGAATCGAGGACATGAAGATGATCATCTTCCCAAGTTTCTGGTCCCGGCTCGTGGTGTCGTTGCCAGAGTTAGCCGTGAGCTTCCGCCATTTCGATTTCCGCTTGAGCTCCACTGTGAGAACGATGGTTGAGATGATGAGCGTGACGAATGATATGACCTGCAGCGTGACGCTTATCGCCAACGTTATGGCCTCCATTCTTTGGAAGTTGGGATCTCTGACGAGACCGAGCAAGGTTTTATTTCTCTTCGGGTAGAACTTCCATCCTATCCGACTGGACGCGTACGTTGGGATCACGCTGAGAACGAACACGATGAAAATAGTCGAGATGATGATGGCGGCCCGCTTCGGGGTCAGGATAAGTCGAACTTTCAACGGCATCGCAATGCAGAGGCATCGTTCTAACGTTATGAACACCGTCACGGCGCACGAGATTCTCGAGAAGCAGACGTGAGGCCAGCCAGCGGTGAGATGCTGGAATTCAGCCGGGGCGAATGTGATGTCGGCGTTGGCCAGAAGTGGGTTGGCGCAGACGACGAACCAAAGCAGGGTCGTGAGGCAGCAGAAGTCGGACGCGGACACCGCGCAGAGGCTGACGGTGATGGAGTCGGTGAAGCCGTGTTTCGCGTAGACGACGACGTTGATGATATTGGCGACTATACCGAAAAGACTGATGAAGCAACAGAGGATGACGTAGTTGATGACTTGGAACAGCTGCTTGAGCTCGTTACTGATTAAAGGGACGCTGCCCTCCGCTGCTGCACGAGTTGAAATAATAACATCAGAAGAGTTGTCGAGCATTCTGTGGGAAATGACAATGTGATCTGTGATGAAACTATTCCTGATGATAAAAGGGACTGAGACGCATTTGATTCAAAACTTCATTAAATAGTAGCTAATCTAAACATCACTGTTCGTTAAAAAAAAAAAAATTGTTAAATAAATCATGGCATTATATGTAAAATTTCCCAACCTCCTGTCAACCGCCATCTTATAACGGGAAAAATAAATTAAACCTCCATTTAGAAAGACTAAGCTACTTAAGTAATGCAACAGAATGAAAAACCAATAAACCAATTAATAAAGCTATAATCATGACAAGAATATAATTACGCGCTTGGCAAACAAGAGTTAATTATAATTCATTACTCTTCTATTCAATGGGTGCCAATTATTTCGTCCGGGGTTCAGTCACCCGAATCAGTGTGCTGTCACAGACGATTTAACCAACTTGTTCAAATTGCCGTAGGCAATCTGTCTTTGATTGTTTATTGCAGTTGGCTAAATCTATTACTTAGTAAGCGTTATCTATAATTGTTATTTGAACTGACACCTCACAATTTGCTCTAGATTTTTTAAACAGCTAATACCACAAGGCTATCAAGTTTATTATACCAATTAAGTTTTTCATAATTATAAAGCACATGCTTAAACAAAATTTATTTGATTTTCTTAGCGAAATAATTATCATTGAACTTGGTACAAAGAAACATTCAGTTAAAAGCAGCGTGTCAGCAGTTTTTTTGCTCAGCATCACCTGTGAGTGCCTGTGACGTATTTGAACATTTTACGAACGGAAAAAGAAAAATAAGTTTCTGAGCGCTGTGAAGTCGTTAAAATTTTCTTAATGAATGTAGCTGCCGTGGTTCGGACGCAACACAATTCCTTCCAGCGTTATTTTATTAACAACGTCCTGTAAAATTTGTTCCTTGACAATATCCTGTAACATTTGTTCGCTAACAACATCCTGTAACATTTTTGCACAAGCAACATCCTGTAACTTTTGTCCGCTAACAACATCCTGTAGCATTTGTCCGCTAACAACATCCTGTAACAATTTGTTCACTAACAACACCCTGTAACATTTGTCCGCTAACAACATCCTGTAACAATTGTTCACTAACAACATCCTGTAACAATTGTTCACTAACAGCATCCTGTAACAATTGTTCACTAACAGCATCCTTTAACATTTAATTTTATTAACGTCGTGGTCATGATATGACGTCTTTAATCCATATGTATGCAGGCTCCTGACATACCAGGCAGCTGGACTTTCTCATACATCTGAGTCTCGACTTCAAGTTTTAACAACCGAGACTTCGTTCTCCTCTTTTAATTTCTTATTCAGGCAAGGTATCATTTGATCCATCTCTTTTATTTAGTTTTTGATTTCTAAAACCAAACTGAAACGAGCTTCGCTGTATAGAATGTCAAGGTAAGCTTTACTCTGCTGTATTGATTTAAAGTGCATAAAAACATGTTTACAAATATCTTTAAATCTTTACACAATTTAAAGTGGGTTCTTGAATTTGTATTTGTTTTACTTGTAATTGTTAGTTGTGCTATTTCAAAAGGGAGACACGTTCATATTAAATAAGATTATTTTTTAAAAAAGTATTGATCCGCAATACAATTTCCTTTAAACAAATATCATTTGATCGATTGACTTATTTATAAAATAATAGATACACATTATTTTAATTTTTCATTCACATTTAAATGGCTTGATTTGATTTATTTAAAAATTAACATACGACCCTTTTTGCATATGTCTTATAATGTCCTCTGTCCAAAAAATAAACAACAAACAAACAAAAGAAAAAAAACAAACAAAAAAACCCCCAAAAAAACAACATGGTTTCCCAATCCATCCATCCATCCCGTGGCACTACAGCCCACGTAGGGTTTTGGCCTGGCTCACTGTTTTCCTCCACTTCGACCTAACTAATGCTTTTCCATGCTTCCTAAACATGATCAAAACGCACAGAAAGCACCGTTGATTGAAATGTTTCTTTGTTAGTTTTGTGTTCAATAAATGTATTTTTAATTTATTATTCAGTTTGTGTTGTCTTTAAAAAATAAAATAATAATAAACCGTAATATTTGCTTTCAGTCAGTTCTTCCTTTGTCTGTCCAGTCACTGTAGAGGTAACCAAATCAAACACCTTATAGTTTTCTAGCAAGTTTAAAAAAACAAAACAAATTATTTAGAAGGTTTGCTCCTTTTATAATTCAAGTAAGCAACAAATAAAATTAAATTAAAAAACATAATGGTAAATAAAATAAATAAATACAAATCAGTTTCAAATCGAGTAAAAGTTTTAAAAGCACTTATACTTAAAACAGATAATAACACAACTTTGAATTTGTTAACTTTGAAAAGAAAAAAAAAACATCAACCATTTATTCCTCACCTAACCAATCAATTTTTTTTCGTTATATTTTTTAAAAATGTAAAACCAAAACTCCCCATTAATACATGCTGCTGCCTTACATTTCTTTCAGCTTTTTAAATGCACCCTCCCCCTCTCTCTCTTAACGGACTAGCACATCTAATTACCCACCTTAGAAGTTCTGGCGCAAGGAAGATGTGGTCCACCCGCCACGGCTTTATAATAACATGAGCATTTCATAACGCTTCAGCAGTAAGGAATTAGAGCTAGTTATTTTTTTGGTTTAAAATGGTAAGTCTTATGTCATATTTGACGTCAACGGGGCAGGAAAAGCTCATAGAAAAAATGAGGAAACTTGCTCAGATGAAACATTTGAAGACGCCATTTATTTGCTCATTAAATCAGAAGCACATCACAATTGATTGGACGCTGGTTTATTTTAACTTTGCTCACTGTTCAGCTGTATGTGTGGGTTGATAGCGTGGATTGAATGCTGGTGTATTTGAATTGTGTTCACCATTCAGCTGTCTGTGTGGGCTGCTAGCGAAGATTGAATGCTGGTGTATTTTAATTGTGTTCACCTTCACCTGTCTATATTGGTGGCTTGCTAGCGTGGATTGAATGCTGCTGTATTTTAATTGTGTTCACCATTCAGCTGTCTATATTTGTGGCTTGCTAGCGTGGATTGAATGCTGCTGTATTTTAATTGTGTTCACCATTCAGCTGTCTGTGTAGTGGGTCAGGTGACACAGTTTAGGAACCACCGATTTATTTTTTATTACACTAAACAATATGTCAGAACCTATCACCAGTAAATGAGCAGCCAGGTTGCTCTGACCTGATACTCGGTTTGCAATAGTTCATGCAGTTCTACAATAACCTCAGTATCCCAAACCCAGACAAAACTAAACTGATATTTGCATTTGCTGATTCAGGTGATAAATTGAGCTGCCGTTATTAGACCGGTCCACCAGCTTCCTGTTTACCAGATAGCTGGAGTTTTGGTGTGGGTGAAGAGACACACGTGAGTTGATATGTTAGGCTTAAAAATAGGACGGTAATACATTCTCTTGACTCAGACGATGTGGAGAGAGTTTTGCATCAGTCTTAAAATGTGCATCAGGTGTATAGAAATAATGGGGTGGTGGGGGTGGGGGGATGGGTAACAGTTATTTCTTTAAAGCAAAGAGCAAACAATATATCATCATCATACGATACATTAATTGGCAAGACAAAATAAACAAATGTTTATAACGGAAACAATAAATTGTTGTAATTATAAATATTACCTAGTGCACATTTCTTTACTCAAAATTATTTTTGTTTAAAATGGAATTTAAATCACAAAGTAATGAAATCTTTTTCACAGATAAATTCACTAAAATCACGTCGTGAATTTTCATGCGAGCCAGCCATCAATGATAAACGCAGATGAAGCGAGTTCTTCCATGGTGGTAAAAATATGAAAAGTCTGAGAGTAAAAAAGTATGATCAACTTATTTTTTATCTATGTCTTGGAAAATCCAACCTTGTTAAAATATGTTTTATGCGGGAAAAACTTGCACAACGCAATTTAATTATATACAGGATAATAAATGAAAGGACTGCGTTCAAGCTGTGTGTATGAAATAGTAGAACAAGGTGTGTGGAAGCCTTAATCAAAAGACAGGACCATAAGAGGTGAATGCTTCGGCTTAGATTCTTCCCCAACGAACAGGACAAACGGAAATGCGACAAGAAACAGGGCACGGTTAACTGTCCTGTCTTTTGATTCAAGCTTGCACCTAAGTTGTTCTAATTGTTTATAAATACATAGACAAATACGATTTTTGGTTGCAATTTTATGCAATCTATTTTAAATAATCTCTACTTTTATTTGATGATGACTGGTTCAGCAACAGGGTTTCTTTCAGCTATATCTCCGAGGGGGGGGGAGGCCAAGTGCCCCCCTCCCCCCCGGAGCAAAAATATACCTAACAATAAATCAACTGGAACTGCTGGCACTGCCCCTCCCGAAAAATCTGAAGTGCNNNNCCCCGAAAATCTGAAGTGCTCCCCCGGGGAAAATTTTTGAAAGAAACATTGGTTCAGCAAGGCACCCAAAAGAACTGCTGTCATGATGGCTTTAGTGATTCTATAATCCTAACATTAAAGTAAACCATATTTCGTTGTTTAAAAGGCGAATTTAAAAATAATTATATCTCAAAAAACATACCGCGACCTTTCAAACAAAGTCAAGTGATTGGAGTTAAAGTTTGAAGTATACTTACAGTAATTCATTTTTGTACTCTACAGCAACCGGTAAAAGTAACTGTGGCATTGGATCTAAATGCACTTGTAATTTACAGTAAAATTAGTGCACCATCATGAAAGTGGCATGATAAGCCACGTTTTAATGCTGAAATAAGGTTTTAGATTGTCAAAGTGGGGGATAGTTGGTAGGACTATGAATTACAGGGAATACAATTTTTGGTATGATTTCTTTCTTTAATATTAGTGGGACGTCCAATGAACAAAAGAGTCTAAGAAGCCACGACGTGCAGTAGTCTATAATAGCTAATTGTAACAGAGTGTCAGAGTTCCACATCTAGTCCCCACCCCCTCCTTTCCACTAATCTCACAAATTTCAAATGCACCCTACTTTCTGTGACCTTTGCCCTAACTGTCCACACTGCCATGCCTGTACCAACTCATCCTCCATTTCAACATATCCCAGACTACCCTTTTAACTACTTATATCAGCATCAAAACATTACTGGATCTCTCCTCCCATACTTGACCCTACCCTCCCATACTTAGCGATACCCTCCAATATTAAACCGTACCCCCCAACACTAAACCATTGCTCCCTCCAATACCGTCTCCAAAGCTATCCTATGGTCTATTTTGCCTCTGGATTTCGCTGTATATTCTCGCAACGCCAGTCTCAACATCCGTGTCGGATTAACCTAAAGGCAATTGAGGCAAGAGCGTAGGACACCGTGCCTCTTAAGATCCCCAAAACAAAGAATTCTATTTTTTTTTAATTGACGTGATCTTGAAAGATGTCTAAACATCTATCGATACAAAGCAAAGGGAGAGGGGAAAGAACTATGGGGAAATAACTACCGTCAAACATGGTTCGTCAAAGGGCAGGTTTTTTGCGATTGTAGGCTGTCATCACATTCCCCGGGTGACCGAGTGCCGGCCTGAGGCTAACTACCCGGGTGACTGGGTACCCGCCAGAGGCTAACTACCCGGGCAATTCTCGGGTATCCGATTAAAACATTTTTAAAAAAAAATCAACTAAAGTTTTGATTATTTTAAATTTAAATTAAAAATACATTTACTCATTCCGACAACGTGACTCATTGTCTGCGTGATACCATTTAAGAGCCGTCTCGTGGGCTCTTCAACCACTGGGACTGAGGGAGGGGGGTTTCGCAGTTACATTTTTTCCTTCTTTTACTAATATATAACTTTGGAAATGTTACATTTTTTTCTTCTTTTACGTTTTTTCTAAAATATAAACAAAAAAAAATATTCATAAAAGTATAGAGATTAAAAAAAGGTGAGAAACTAACCTGGTAATCATCAAAGATCGCCAATCTTTTATAATACTAATATTATTTTTTATAACATAGTGATGACAGCAATAAACACAAACAAAACACAAATTGGTTTTTAAAATATATGCTTGGACTAGAAAAAAACAATAAAAATTAAATAAAATTATAGAAGTACAAAACCTATCTTAAAATGGTGACTTTTATGAAATATATATATATATAAGTTATATATTAGTAAAAGAAGGAAAAAATGTAACTGCGAAACCCCCCTCCCTCAGTCCCAGTGGTTGAAGAGCCCACGAGATATATATATATATATATATATATATATAACAGTTTAATTCTAGACAAAGTTCAATAATCTTTAAAAAATTTTAATATTAATTTCAATTATTCTTTTACTACCCCCCTAATAGTCTTGGTCAATGAATGGAAATTAGCTTAAGATTGAAAATGAGCTGCCAACATTTAAACTGATTGTTTCATTTTAAAAAGGGACTAATAAAATACGGTGTCCAGGCAAGATGTTGTGAAGCTGTTATTGACCTTTCAAATAATATATTTCCTACACCAATAGAATAATTGTTTAGCTAAAGACGAATGGATTGAACATACACAAATATGTTGTTTTTTAAAAAAAGACTTCGATTGTTTAGATTTGGTGCTTTCCAATAAATGTATAAATTGAATGTTTCATTGCAGATAATTGCATGGTGTTTCCCCCACCCAAACACAAATACCATACATTTTTCTAATGCATCCCATTCTCCAGCTGTTCTTACTCATGGGCTTATCCAGGATTCGTTAGAGTGAGAGATGAGATAGAAAATGATCACACGTCATTTGTCATGTACAACATGAAGGTCACTAGCCCCAATACACAATTACAAAGTACTGTTTTAATATGTACTGTTTCCCTTTTTTAGGGCATGAACGTGAAAGTTTAAGACCGCGGAACAACGTCTAGCTACGCCATTAAGTCGAACTGAAGTTTTTACCGGGCTTCTTTGCTAGTAAAGGAATGATATGCTGACCCTTCCAATAAGTCTAAATGATTTACATCGCAGCCTGATTTCAATGCACCACACACTAAAAGAAAAGACTGAAGACATGTCCTTAGGAGACCTTGAAAGTAACAACACGCATTGATAAATGAGTGGGTGCGAAAGAAAATCCACAAGTCACGACGCGTTCAACAGCGGAATTGAGAGTGCAGGTCTGAAGAATCTACTTTCTAAATACTCCTGACAAGCCCTGACCCTTACTTATCCCACGTCTTGGCCGGAAAGTGTGTCCGATGGTTAACGATGTTGACTGTGTGATACTTGGTGCTTTCCTCGTAAGACATGACGATTTCCCAAACCAAAAGAAAAAAAAAACGCCGATTAGATTCGTACTTCTATTCTAAAACGCTGATAAATGAAGAAATTATGACCGTATCGTGTCCAAGACCAAAGCGTACACGCTTGCCTTTAGTGTATATTATGGTCTGTGCTATGCAATAATAATAACAATCACTCGAAAGAAGACCTAATCAAAATCAAAAGTAATTTAAAGCGTTTCAATAATACAACTTATAATTTAAAAAAACTACACTAGGGGTAGGAAAATCACGGTTCGAGGAGCGCATCCGGCTCTTTAGCGACCTGAGTGCGGCTCGGCAGTCGGCAATCGGCAGAAAATCGGTTTTGATTACGAAAAATCATGGTTCTTGACAGGTTCTTGAAATTCATTTTTTTAATCGTCCTGCTTCTGATTTTTTTGTCTTTTTGACTAATCAGTTTGCTGACCATTGAACTACACTATTTCAAAGGAGTAAAAATTACAGTTGAAATATTAACACATGATAATGTTTTTTTTCTTCCTTTAAAACAAATTTTCCCTCCCATGACTCCCAACTTGTCCTAAAAAATGTACCTGCGCCATCGGGTACTCGGGTACCTAGCTCCGTGGGTCTACGGGTACCCGGGCAACTGTTTTTATCATTTTTGACAGATCAGTGATGACCGCACAGATGAGAGATAACAAATGTTCGGGTTACGAAAGAGTTCATTGAACCTTTAAACTGTGTAAAAAAAAAAATAAGTTCGAAAACTTAACAATACCATTTGAAAACCCGAAATTTGAAAGTGGATAGCTCTAACGCACTGGAACTACAAGAATCATATTGTCTGAAGATACAATCTTAATTCATGAATTATATGCAGACAAAATTAAGTGCAGTTTAAAATTAGACTAACTGAGTAATTCTTTTTCAGATTTTCTTTGCATATTTCTTAAATTTAAAAATCTCAACCTATTTGGGGGCGGGGGGGGGGGAGGGGGGGTATTAATCAAATGACTTTGGAAGCCCCCTTGCAAATTTTCTGTTAGGGGGGGGGGGGGGGGGGGGGAGGGGGTGTATTAATCAAATGACTTTGGAAGCCCCCTTGCAAATTTTCTGTTGGGTGCCCCTTGCATTCAGAGTTGATAGTTGCATTATTTTGTTCTCCTGAAAATAACGTTGGAACCCTTAAATATATGGAGCCCCTGCAGCCAAATGGGTTCCAGATTCCATGTGATGACACTGGCAACAAAACAAATCGTACGCGTTTCTTTAGACATATACCATCAAATGTAGTGTTGTAGGGTTGGAAACTGTCGTCTTTTGAGGACAGCTGAGGTAAATAGAATAAAAAGTACAATGTCAGCTGATTGGCACAGCGACCAAGTGACCAAAAAAAAAACGTGGAAAAAAAAATTTATAATATTTTTATAATATATGAAAGGGGTTTTGAATATTATTATATTCTATATCGATCTTTTGAATGTTTACCCATAGTATCGGTATCGTTTTGGGCACAGCCGAACAACATACATTTAGAGCCCTTGCAAGGGCCGTGCATAGGATGGGGTGGTGGTCTAATGGGTGGCCACGCCAGTCGATAGCCTCAGCTGGGTAACAAAATAGTTAATAATTTTAAATCATCGTAAATAAGGGTATATCTTCTGGTGGAGGAAGTGAGGTGCGATCAGCTCAGAGTACCGGCTACATTTTTAGAAATATTATAAGTGTAACCGGGTTCGGGTTGGGAAGGGGCGGGGGCTTTCTCGACCAAATGCATAAAAAAAGATTGAGAACATAATTTTATGATTTAAAAAAAAAAAAAAAGTATGTGAAAAATTTCGTTTTGAATTTATCCAATATTTTCTGGGTGTGGCTCTAGTCAATTCTCAAACTCCTCCCACGACTTACACCTCTACTTCCGCTTTATTTTCAGAACTGTCCCCGGGGCCACTTTTTCTCAGCTGGGCCATCGTAATATTTTTGTTTTAAAAGTTTTATTTAAACTCAACAGTACCAGTAACATATATGCAGTGTCGTGGGAAGGCCTTGTGGAGGTGTACGGTCTGCCCCGAGTGGCTCTTTTTTCCCCTATATATTGAGTGGCTAACATTTTTGGCAAAACTGCTGAGATGTTTTTGTTTTGGGTTGAAGAGAGAAGACAAAAAGCTTGACCCACCTCCGGGGACAGCAACCTTAGTTACGCAACTGCTGATATGGGATTAAAACTTTCATTTAGGGGAACGGGCGGGGGGGGGGCTAATTTTGACTGCGTGGGAGCTTCCGAGGGAGGGGGGGTATTATTTCGACACCGCTCAACATAATCCCATGCTTCACATGCCAAATAAGATAACAAAAAACTTAACCGCTTCCCAAACTGCAGACATACATTTTTTTTTGGTATTCTAGGTTTCAGGACATTAAATGTATTTTTCTACACTAATTACTTTGATATTTAACGCCACAACGTTAATAATGTTATATCATTTGATTAAAAGAAAAAGTGGACACACAGTCGGCTACAGATATAATCGACTAGGACATGAAATGTCATCCATGATATTCTTATGACAGTTTAAAAAATGCTGCGCAACAGCCGTACACATAATATTTTAAATGCTTCAGGCCTCTACAGTGTTGATGATGTGTGTTTATTTTCTCTCCACAGTTATGAACTAGGATTTGACGTAAGATTCTGTGCAATTTTACAGGACCACAGCTTTAACTACTACTGACTGCAAATATGCTGCTAATTTATTTCCCCCACCGAACAGCATCCCACACACAGTTATTTTGTGTTAAATGTGTATATTAAATTGGAATAATTCAAGAATTATGGTAACCAGATTGCACAGTGAAAGGATCAACCTTTATCAAAACTGATTTGAAATTGACCATAATTTATTTTAGAAACGACACTTCCCCCTTCCTATCTCCACCCCACCCACAATTAACTCATAAAGGACTCCTCCATTCCGTGTCTAGACGGTTTGAAAGCCAGGACTCGTAATCCAAGTTTTCCTTTTCCTTAGCCCATGAAAGTATCGTAAACACAGGGGAAGGTTTCTTCAAATACCCCCTAGGCACTAAGGGGCTGCCTTGATCAGCGGCTTAAAAATGCTTGCCGTGACGTCTGACCGATTTTTACAAACCCTGGTTAAGCCGAGTTTTTTTTTTTTTTTAAAATATTGTTTCTTAATTCTTAACGGTGTTTTTTTTTTTTTTTTAAGGGATTGGCATTTGTTTTTTTTTTTTTTTTTTTTATATATTGTTTTTTTATTTTTTATTGTGTTTTTTTTTTTTTTGTAATGTATTGGCATTGAGTGGTGAAGGAAGTTGTGTATATATTTTAGTTGTGTATATATTTTAGTGGTGTATATATTTTAGTGGTGTATATATTTTTGTGGTGTATATATTTTAGTGGTGTATATATTTTAGTGGTGTATATATTTTAGTGGTGTATATATTTTAGTGGTGTATATATTTTAGTGGTGTATATATTTTAGTGGTGTATATATTTTAGTGGTGTATATATTTTTGTGGTGTATATATTTTAGTGGTGTATATATTTTAGTGGTATATATTTTAGTGGTGTATATATTGTTGTGGTGTATATATTTTAGTGGTGTATATATTTTAGTGGTGTATATATTTTAGTGGTGTATATATTTTAGTGGTGCATATCTAAAGAAAAAATGTGTCAAACGTGGGATAACTGTGCTTTGTTTGGGAAAGGGCGAACGGTGACGTAGAATGGAATTTTTGAGGGGGGGGGGCGTTTCGCCCCCAGGCGGCTCTTTTTTCTTTATATGGAGGGGCAACATTTTCGCACAAATGCAGGTATTTTTTTCTTAGAAGGAATGCGACAGAAATCGCCCACCCCCCCTTCCTCTTTTGTTAGCACTAATCCCAGCTACAACACTAAAGAAATCAAATAAAAGACAACTTCTTTGATTTATTCATTTACATTCTTTAAATAATTGAATGGTTTATTTGTTTGTAGTAATGTTTCCCGAATGTGATGTTAGAGGTAACTGGGGTGAGTGTGTCCTTTATGCACACCAGTTTGGGTCACCGCACATAGCGTTAAGAGGGTTATGAGAAGCTTTAAAAGCCTGTTAGCAAAAGAAAAAAAAAGATGTATGTGTTAACAGGAAACAAATCTTGGCTCATCATCTTATAGATGGGTTTTCTATAGTAGTAACCTGAGCCCTAATACCCTCTTTTACTAACCAGTCAAGTCTTGTGATAGTGTGCTGCAGATGCCTCTACAGTGTCATGGGTGATTAAATCTTAATCCCTGATAACAAACTGCACACCCCTGCTGAGGGGTTGGGGGGGGGGGTGGAGCACCAGGCAGCCGCTTCATTGCCGTTTCTAAGCTCCTCAATTATGTAATGTTACCAGGAGCCTGGAGTGTACTCACGCGAATATGTGTACAGAATTAACAGGGACACGGAGGCTAGGTGCTCTGAGGAGTTATTCGGTTAACTACGACGATTCTTCCCATCGTGGTGGCCCAAATAGCTTTTTCGGACGACTGGTGGAACCCACGGTTTGAAAAGGGGAGGCAGTGGCCGGGGGGGGGGGAATGCTATTAGCCTAAAGAGGACAGGTGGGTAATCAGCTCGCCATGTAGTGGTAAAGCTTTGCAGGAGGAATCACAAGAGAGAGTAGGTAGCGGGTATCCAAACGGGCATTTCTTTCACAGAGCATCGATGAAAAGACAACCATTGTAATTTATGAGATGAGATAGGGAATTTTAAGAATAATGCTATAAGTACAAACAGAAATAAAAAGAAAAAAAAACAGCAAAAAAGAACACAATTCTTAGATGATGAAAGGTAGCATTGTGTCGGTTATGTGATTGCTTGACAATTAAAAAATGTGTTACTGAAAGAGATTATATGTACTTGAGATACTGACTGATACCGTTTTAGATTTTTGAAGGTTGATGAATAAAGAACTTCTTTCAATCTATGTGAACACGGTGAACTCCAGAACCATACGATTTTTAAAATTGTTTTCTATTTCTGTTGTTTTCTTGTTTTTTCTAGTGTGCTGAAGAAGGCTATTGGCCGGTACGTTCACCTTTGTATTGTCCTGTCTTGCCAGTTCAAGCTTTCACATACCTTACTAAATCATTTCGATATTTGAAGCAGCCGCTTACGTATAGGAACACCACTTTGTTTCCTGTACCTAAAAACATATTTATTTGTTATCAGTTAACATTCGTCCAATGAACACATTTCTGTTACAAATATCAATACATATCGACCTACTCTGATATGTTAAATCTTATTTAATATCTTTACATTTAACATACTTTTTCAGATGCCATAAAATGCTTTACTCCTTAAATAATTATAAGGCATTAATTAGTGTTTATTTGTATTTTTGGGTGCTATTTATATACAAACAAACGTGTCTTTTACATTAGGTATCTACATTGCAAAATTGAATTTATAATATCCCCTTACTTTTAGGACAATAGTGTCTTTATTTGTCGTGATGGATAACGTATTAGGCTTAGGTTGATAACTCAGATATTGGACAGTAAATTTAGTGCTAGGCAGTAAATCCATTGAGATAAAGTAACATTTTTATTTATTGTTAAATTGAAAATGACACCAAATGTTGTCTAACCCGATGCCTATCTCTGCTACCTTTTAGACCAGTGATACCACGTTCAAGTCAGACACACCAGATAGTTGAGCCTGCAGACTGATCCGCAGAAGAAAACATGACCACCACAAAGAGCAACCTGTTTTGGTTTCTCCCTCTTTCGAAGAACAGCAGTGAAATTTACCAGCGAATGTCCTTTCATGGTGGCGGGGCCTTTGATGACCTTTTTGAGAGCTACACGAGTGCTCCGAACGCGCTCGAAGAGTGAGTGCTTTTAGATCATGTTTATATTTATCTTAGATGCAAAATTTGATTTCTTTTAATGATGAAAGCAACATATGTATATAATTGACATTTCCCCAATGTTTCTGAATTACTGAGCGTGAAAAGTTGAAAGGTACCTCCATCTTTAAGGTCACGTGCTACCCATTTCATTAAGCAGACAACTTGCTTTTGATCTGAATTATAATTTGGTAGGAATTAATTTTGCTTTGGGTTAACTGTGTATTTAAATTATCAATTAAATAACTTTTTGTATAGGCCGTTTTAAGAAACGCGTATTTTAAACTTTCACTTTATATGTATGAATAAGTTAAAACATGAAATAATTACTTTGAAACGTTGGCTTGATGTATTTGAAGCCATTAATAGGCCAAAAAAAACCCCAACAACTAAAAAACTTTCTATAGACCTCGTAGTGCAAACGCCAGTTTCAAGTGATATTTTCATTTTTTTTTTGTTTATCTCAACGACAGGCTCATCGAAGCCAACCGGCTCTGGACCATCGTCCTCGACATCAGCGTCGTCTACTTCTGGGTCATTTTCGCCATCGGCCTCCCCGCGAACGTCCTGGCGCTGATCACGATTCTCAAGATGCAGGTCATCACGCCAGCCACCATACTCATCGCCGTCCTGGCGTCGCTGGACGGCCTCGCCCTGATCGGGAAGTTCGTAGCCACCGTGGTCGTCCAGCACGACCTCTACCTGGGGACCACCGGATGCAGGTTCCAGTTCCTCATCATCTACGTGTCCACCATGGCGAACTGGGCTCTGGCGTACATCTGCGCCGAGCGCTTCGTCTCCATGTGGTACCCGCTGCTCCGCGACAAGTACCTCTCCAAGAAAAGCTTGTGTTTGGCTTTGGTGGCCACCGGTCTGAGCTTTTTCATCGTGTTCGCCACCATCTCGATCGTGATGCGAGGCGCGGACAACACTGGGCACCGCTGCGGCACGCGGGCTGAACACGTCTGGTTTCATAAAAACATCTGGTACTGGATCAACGCTTCCCTTTTTCTGTTTGTCCCATGCCTCTGTATTGTACCACTGACCTTGATAACAATAGTTAAGCTCTTCTGGTCTCGAAAACCTAAACACAGCGAAACGGATCGATACGACTTTGAAAATGAAGCGGGAAATGCGAACACGGAACGGAAAAATCAAAGAACGGTAACAATAATGATGACCCTGGCTGCCGTGACATTCATACTTCTCTCCCTTCCCTCCTGCATCTACTACCTGGCGTACAAGAGCAGCAACGACATCGTGGTGGAGGCTCGCTGGGCCGTTTTCGAGCAGGTTCAGTTCGTCTTCATCGACTCGTCCCACGCCGTGAATTTTTTCATCTACTTCTTGTCCTCGAAACTGTTCCGAGATAGACTTTACGAGCTGGTTTTGCCCAAGAGTGTCAGTGCCAGGTGCACGAGACGAGCTAGTGATTCTACGGCTCTGGAAACGAAGACGGAAAAAACCAAACAGGATTTTTAAAAGAATCACGATCATAAACTCTTGGACATCGTCAATAACGAAAACAAGGATAGACCATATAAAGAATCTGAAATAGGCATACGTTGCATGTTGAAAAAAAACAACAAAAAACTTAGCGATTTCCCTCAACATTAATCAGTTTATGTTGTTTTTTTCTAAATTTTAAAATTTGGACAATTTATTTATACGGTTTCTACGATAAAAGAAGTATCCCCTGAACCGAAGTCTAGTATCAATAGCTCAGCGCTTTAAAACGTTAAAAACAAATAAAAAGAAAATAAGAAAAAAAAAACCAACTTTTAAAACTTTTTATTTTTTAAGATTTAACAATTAAACCAAAAAAAAAAGAAGTTTTATTTAAAACTATTTAAGATGTTTGTCAAAATGATGTGTGTGGTTATTACTAACTTTAAAACACTTTTAGCATCTCATCATTTAAGATAATAATTGACGTCATGCTTTGTTGTTGTTTTAAAATGAACAAGAGCGTGGTAATGAGTTACACTTCAAGCTGACTTTTCTCTTTTCATTTATTTTCGTCAGAACATTCTGTAAAATCGGCCCCCTTAAGTGTGTTTTTTGGTTGATGTGTTTTTGGTACATTCGTATTTAAAATTAAAGCGACACATTTTCAACACACTATCCCCACCTACACCACGCCAATATTGAGCACCACTCTTCATGACACAACACATGACTTAGTTAAACGCCGATATAGTCTTTTTTATGGGTTAAATGTCACACGTTCTTATCAGAGTCTGCAAAATAATTTCCTTAGTAGTGTCATCTTCTTCATAGTAATGTTTGAACCATTAAATGTAGTTTTAATTTTTTTATATAAATATAACATTTTTATCTACTTAGAACATCATCAGCCAATTGTCCTCCAGTAACGCTAATGTAAATACTATTGAATCACCGTTGCAATCCACATACGGGATTGCGATCAATGTAACATGTAAATATTTAGTTTCGTATGCCCATGAATCTCCAAAAGAGTGCTTCAACGCACTACTACAGTTGTTCTCAACCTTCCTAATACCACGACGCCTTAATATAGTTCCTCATGTTGTGGTGACCCCCAACCATCAAATTAGTTTCATTGCTACTTCAAAAGTATGCGTTTTCCGATGGTCTTATGCGACCCCTGTGCAAGGGTCATGACCCCCAAAGCAATCGCGACCCATGGGTTGAGAATATTTGACTTAGAACATCATCAGTTATGTGTCCTCCTATAACTCTACTGTAAATACTATTTAATATCGGTTACAGTACGCATACCGGATTGTATTCAATTTAACATGTACATATTTATTTTGATATACCATTTCATCCCAATAAGAGTGCTTCGACGCACTAGTAGACTACGTCTCACAAACGACATTTTAGCTCTAGAGAGAAATATCGGAAACACTATTTGCGAATTATGACTTCGTTGATTTGAAATCGGCCATTGAACAAAATTATTATATATTGAATTGACTGCACATATAAGTTTGAGGACCACTGCCACAGATCATGTTTTCGATAAGCTTAAACTATTAGAACTTTTAAATGGCAAAACCTACAGAACACATAAGTGAATTATAAATACACAGTATTTAAAGTGCAATGAATGTGCCGCCTACGGGAACGTGCCAGACAGGGGTCAAACCATCCCGAATTCTCATGTCAATGGCCAGGTTATAGGAAATTTGATCAGTAGAAATTTCGTTGACGGAAAAATGATCGATGGAAATTTGATCGAACGGAAATTTGGTCGCATTTTTTTAAAATTCACATGTTAAAATTTTCGTCAAATTTCTATTTGAACGCACTATACTATAAACTAAAACAAAATAATGCGTTCAAAAAGAAATTTGAAGCAAAATTTTAACTGGAAACAAGATTCCAACAAATTTCCGTTCGATCAAATTTCCGTCGATCAATTTTCTGTCGAAGAAAATTTCTTTCAATCAAATTTCCTTATACGCATTGGATGTTTAATTACATTCACAGTCTTAACGATATAATTGTATGTAATATATAGTTGAATATTATGAAGATGTACATTTTATCGTTTTACATATTTTGCTTCCTGTTGTAAGTAGTTAGTTTTTTTTAATCATTTTAGCAAAACATCTTTATCAAGAGTTTCACGACAATGTATTTACATTCAAAAGTACACAAAAATACACTTTTTTTCATATAAACGTAGTGTAATGTTTGTTGATATTCTATGTTAATATTTTTTTTAAAATTTAAGTATAAATAAAGTGAATATTCCTTATGAAGTACTGAACATCAATTGTTGTGTGAAAGCTGTTTGAAACATGTACAAATGACTGTCGAGCTCAGAAACATCTACTGCAGATTGCAACAATAATTTTTGATACATTTAAATATCACTACTAAATTGAAAGAATATTTTTACAAAGGTCTTTATGTAACTGCTAGATTGAAAATATTTCTAAAATTATTGTTAAATATGTCTGCAATATTCAAACAATGCTCATTCATAGATTTTAATATCACTACTAGATTGAAACATTATTGTTTCATAGATGTTCATAATACTACTAGATTGAAACATTATTGTTGCATAGATTTTAATAACACTACTAGATTGAAACATTATTGTTTCATAGATTTAAATAACACTACTAGATTGAAACATTATTGTTTCATGGATTTTAATAACACTACTAGATTGAAATTTTTCCATCATAGATTTTAATATCACTGCTATTACAAATGTCTCTCTCTATCGCAGTGGTTCTCAACATTCCCAAAAGCCGCGACCCTGTAATACATTTCCTCATATTGTGGTGACCCCAAAACCTTCATTTATTTTCGTTGCTACTTCATAAATATGTTTTTTCCGATTTTCTTAAGCGACCATTGTGTAAGGGTCGTTCGAGCCCCGAAGGGGTCGCGACCCACAGGTTGAGAACCGCTTCTCTAACGTGTACAGTCACTCTCTATACGTCACGTGGGTATAACTGATACCTTGCGACACAATCTGATACTTTACCGTGTCTAAGAATTATTGGGAATGTTAGTAAACAAATTTTAAAATAGCAAACGTAAGAATTTCTAAAAATAGACTTACAGCGTGCGTACACCTATCCCGGAAGTTGTGGATCGTTCAAGAATAACTTTAATATTATTCATCATTAATCACCCGATACATCGCTCTGAGAAGTCCAAACAAAGGCAGGAAATGAGATTAATTTTGAAAGCAGATTATTAATTATACCTCGCAAAAAAAAAAAAAAAACAACAAAAAAAAAACAATTAGTTTGGTCAGCAGTGTCTAACATATTTCAAATTATTTATACTTCATTATCCGTTAAAGCAGGCCTGCACACAAACAAAGGCAGGAAATGAGATTAATTTTGAAAGCAAATTATTAATTATACCTCGCAAAAAAAAAAAAAAACAACAAAAAAAAAACAATTAGTTTGGTCAGCAGTGTCTAACATATTTCAAATTATTTATACTTCATTATCCGTTAAAGCAGGCCTGCACAACAAGCTACCCGCCAGCACCCATTTTGCGGCCCGCAAAGTAACGAAATATTCTTTATTATTATTAATATTTACTTAATAGCCCCCTCCCCCACCTTTTTTTTTCTGGTCTTATTTTCTTTCGGCCCGCTCAAGTTTTTGATAAAGTATTACGGCCTACCTTACATTTTCAGTTGTGCAGGTCCACGTAAAAACCTATCAAACATTTGCAATGTGCCCCCAGTGACGATTTTTCCAGTCTGCTCAGTTTAATTTTATTGTTAAAATTAGAAATAAAACAAGAAAGGAAATAATAAAAAAGAAGTTTGCAATGAGTAATTTCCTCTTTGATGATTGATTTTGAGGTTTGGTCCGGGATTTTACGTCAACAAATCCAAGCTATTACGTCATATTCACTAAACATGTTATTCGTTTACACTAGTATCCGGCATTTCACCACGTCAACAGCTATTTCCGACTTCATAAAAAAAAACACCGTTTCTCAAGTGGTCGTACGCTTGGTTATCCTAATAGTAATGCAACAAAGGGGTTCTCAATTTGTTTAAACCGTCGAATTAAGACAAGTGGACGAAGACACCGGGTAAAATTCCATTAATTACACTAACCCTTTCTTGTTTGATCGCAAAATTATGTTTTTTTAACATATGAACTTTGAGAAAAACGAAAAGACACTGAAAACCATTAAGTGAGTAAGGTATGCTGGTCAATGCTAATGACTCATTGTTTTAAAAAATAAACAAACGTGGAGACCTTTAAGTTTTGAGTGAGTCAAAAGTAAGCCGGATGTGTCCCGAGGATGCCTGCGAGATGAAAAGGATAAACAGAAGTTTACTCACCTCGTCTATTTTTACATGAAGGCAAGCCGTTTAAATGTTGAGACTCAAAAGCCGATGTTTACTTTACATACCGAGGCCGTATGCTAATGCGTCTTTAAATCTGTGATTTTAAGGTACGTAACTACAATTAAATTCCGTAAGGATAGCATCAAATACAGTTTAAATGAGTTCGAGCCAATTTCGCTGATATTAATAAGATTGTGAGATTTATGGAATAAATAAATCAAGATACTAAAAAAAATAAATTAACCAGTGTTTACCCTAGTAACGATTGTATGACTAAATTCTAGGCTTTGTGGGGTATAAACTCAACCTAACCTCACGCTCTCTCTATTTCTGTTTTTTTTTCTCTCTCTCATATTCTCTCTCTCTCTCTCCCTCTATATCACTGTCAGTCCCACTTCTTTCTCTTCCCTCCTTATCCTTTTTCACATATCTCTTAGGCTTCGTCCACACGATCATTTTTTTCATCCACTTTGCGTCAAATTTCTGTTTGAACGCACCACTTTGAGCGCGTTTATTTTTAGACAATGAGGATTTTATCAAATACTAATTTGAACTTGCGAGAAGGCTTCATACGCAAATCACCACCCTTCTTACGCCACCCTTCCTACGCCAGCCTTCCTACGCCAGCCTTCCTACGCCACCTTCCCACGCCACTCTTCCTACGCCACCTTCCCACGCCACCCTTCCTACGCCAGCCTTCCTACGCAACCTTCCCACGCCACCCTTCCTTCGGCAACCTTCCTACGCCACCTTTCCTTACGCCACCCTTCCTACGCCACTCTTCCTACGCCACTGTACACACCCACACATAAACACACACTCAAGTAGCAAAACGACGGATGACCTATCAAAAGAAGGCGGTTTCAATGTACGACAGCTCTACCTGCCTTAGCCCCATTGCACATTTTAAACACTCGAAGAATTTTCAAACATTATTTTTATATTTTTTTGTGTTGAAACCTAATAAATGGTGTGACATACAGTTGTGTTTAATTAATTTACATACAGTCTTTTGGAGCGAAATGTTTTATCAAAGTAATTATCGCACTTTACTTTGAAACAGATTTCATTAAATATTATATAATTATCTTTCCGATTTCATTTCTTACAGCTCAATTTTAAGTAGCATCCACTCAGGATATTTTCTTAAATGCTTATTTTAATGATATTAGCATTAATACAAATAATTTCATATTTACCGAATCGGATATTATATTAAAAATCATTAAGAAAATAATTTGAGAATAAAATATATAATGCGAAAGATTTGAATTTTCTTAAAAATGTTGAAGTTAATATTTATTTTCGTAAAAAAGTTATCACTTCCACTTTTCTATTTCTTAGGGCAGCGACTTATAAAGTTTTAAAAAACACCTATTTAGACAATGTATCTCCATTAGAAGATGTTTCGAATTTATTCGTTCTTTAATTATTGCTTAAGTCTATAGCCGATAAGAAAGTCTATGCACAAATATAATAGTAAATGTTCAATGTGTGTATGGCTGTGTTATATTAGAAATTGATGATGACAAAATCGAAGGAAAAATACTAAATAGCAATATCAAAAACCATTGAGTGCCGTTAACTAGATTTTTTTCAAAATCATTAACCTCGAAAATTTCAGTTTTAATTAACAAATTTTATATTGTTTTTTTTTTTTTTTTTTTTTTTTTTTTTTTAAATTTTTTTTCCTTTTTTTTTTTTTTTTTTTTAATGTTTCAACAANAACCATTGAGGAGGGGGGGGGGACAATTTTCTTTTTTATTTAAAAAATTTTTTTTTTTTTTTTTTTTTTTTTTTTTTTTTTTCAGTCTAAATCTCATTCACCATTTGTTATTTCTTCTGTTACATCTATTTCGCAAACACTTTCTGGGATGATTGTCAACCTTATTTTCCAGTTAATGCATAATGGCTGTGTTGCTTGGGTTTGAAATGGTTAGAAAGACTTTGACATTGTATGCTTGTAATTAGCTTTTGTAGTGTTGCGTTTGTTTTAAATGTGGTAAATTATAGATTTGTATTTCTTTGACTTTGTACCGCGAATCGAGCCTTTGGGGATGAAGCGTGTTTTTGAAATGAACTTTATTATTATTGTTACTATTTCATCTACTGGCGTAACAACTTACCCCTTCATTCGGAGATGTCGGCTCTACGCCTTTTTGGCGTACTTTCATTGGTGTTTATTCTGTGTTGGTGCACTAAGCAGGTGTGCTGTGAAGACACCAACTTGTATACCGTGGACGAGAATGGAACGATTGTCAAAAACGACACCCGCGTCTTCAACAACACAGCCATACTAATGTAGGTCATTTTAGCCCATGTCTTCAAAAACACAGCCGTACTAATGTAGTCCATTTTACCCCGCGTCTTCAACAACACAGCCGTACTAATGTAGGCCATTTTACCCCGTGTCTTCAACAACACAGCCGTACTAATCTAGGTCATTTTAGCCCGTGTCTTCAACAACACAGCCGTACTAATATAGGTCATTTTACCCCGCGTCTTCAACAACACAGCCGTACGAATGTAGGTCATTTTAGCCCGCGTCTTCAACAACACAGCCGCACGAATGTAGGTCATTTTAGCCCGCGTCTTCAACAACACAGCCGTACGAATTTAGGTCATTTTTACCCCACGTCTTCAACAACACAGCCGTACTAATGTAGGTCATTTTAGCCCATGTCTTCAACAACACAGCCGTACGAATGTAGGTCATTTTAGCCCATGTCTTCAACAACACAGCCGTACTAATGTAGGTCATTTTAGCCCAAGTCTTCAACAACACAGCCGTACGAATGTAGGTCATTTTAGCCCGCGTCTTCAACAACACAGCCGTGCTAATCTAGGTCATTTTAGCTCATGTCTTCAACAACACAGCCGTACTAATATAGGTCATTTTACCCCGCGTCTTCAACAACACAGCCGTACGAATGTAGGCCATTTTAGCCCGCGTCTTCAACAACACAGCCGTACGAATGTAGGTCATTTTAGCCCGCGTCTTCAACAACACAGCCGTACGAATGTAGGTCATTTTTACCCCACGTCTTCAACAACACAGCCGTACTAATGTAGGTCATTTTAGCCCATGTCTTCAACAACACAGCCGTACTAATGTAGGTCATTTTAGCCCATGTCTTCAACAACAAAGCCGTACTAATGTAGGTCATTTTAGCCCATGTCTTCAACAACACAGCCGTACTAATGTAGGTCATTTTAGCCCATGTCTTCAACAACAAAGCCGTACTAATGTAGGTCATTTTAGCCCATGTCTTCAACAACACAGCCGTACTAATGTAGGTCATTTTAGCCCATGTCTTCAACAACATAGCCGTACGAATGTAGGTCATTTTAGCCCACGTCTTCAACAACACAGCCGTACGAATGTAGGCCATTTTAGCCCATGTCTTCAAAAACACAACCGTACTAATGTAGGCCATTTTACCCCGTGTCTTCAACAACACAGCCGTACTAATCTAGGTCATTTTAGCCCATGTCTTCAACAACACAGCCGTACTAATATAGGCCATTTTACCCCGCGTCTTCAACAACACAGCCGTACGAATGTAGGCCATTTTAGCCCGCGTCTTCAACAACACAGCCGTACGAATGTTGGTCATTTTAGCCCGCGTCTTCAACAACACAGCCGTAAGAATGTAGGTCATTTTTACCCCACGTCTTCAACAACACAGCCGTACTAATGTAGGTCATTTTAGCCCATGTCTTCAACAACAAAGCCGTACTAATGTAGGTCATTTTAGCCCATGTCTTCAACAACACAGCCGTACTAATGTAGGTCATTTTAGCCCATGTCTTCAACAACACAGCCGTACTAATGTAGGTCATTTTAGCCCATGTCTTCAACAACAAAGCCGTACTAATATAGGTCATTTTAGCCCATGTCTTCAACAACACAGCCGTACTAATGTAGGTCATTTTTACCCCACGTCTTCAAAAACACAGCCGTACGAATGTCGTTCATTTTAGCCCATGTCTTCAACAACACAGCCGTACTAATGTAGGTCATTTTAGCCCATGTCTTCAACAACACAGCCGTACGAATGTAGGTCATTTTAGCCCATGTCTTCAACAACACAGCCGTACGAATGTAGGTCATTTTAGTCCATGTCTTCAACAACAAAGCCGAAATAATGTAGGTCATTTTAGCCCATGTCTTTAACAACACAGCCGTACGAATGTAGGTCATTTTAGCCCATGTCTTCAACAACACAGCCGTACTAATGTAGGTCATCTTAGCCCGTGTCTTCACAACAAAGCCGCAATAATGTAGGTCATTTTAGCCGGTGTCTTTTACAACAAATCCGCAATAATGTAGGTCATCTTAGCCCGTGTCTTCAACAACACCGCCGTAATAATGTAGGTCATTTTAGCTTTTGACGACAAGAAAACCAATAAAGCCGGGATTAAGATGAAACGATTCTCACATTAGTTTATTTCACTGTGATTATTGCAGTCTACTGATAACATAAAAAAATTGTAAAATAACAACCATTAATGATATTTGTTCACATATACACATCCTGTTCTTAAAAAGTTACAGATAATAATTAAGCCCCACGTCCATCACAAGTAAAGAGGTAGTGAAACGTGTAACGTTTATCTTAATTATTTTATTTAAATTAAGTTGGACTGGGTCGGGGGGGGGGGGAGGGACGGAACCCAGACAAGGGCCTTTGTGAATTATTAAAAATGACTTAAAAACAATTTTGAATCCAAGCAATAAAAAATATTATGCCAAGGTGCATTTTGAACAGACAAAGTCTCCTATAGGGACATGTGATTTATCTCTCATGGTGGCTCAGAGAACCATACATCTCTTAAACTTTTTTTTTTTAATTCTTTGAAACACGTGACATGATCTACCACATATATGTTTATTTCATCAGTACTCTTATTGTTCTTAGATTCGTCCAGTTCCTGTGCCAACCAAACACCAGCACGTGCAGCACGATTCAAAACCCAGTGCCCTCCAAGCAGTCGGATCAATGTAATATTATTGACCTCGAATCCGGCGACATAACTTTCAGAAGGTCAGGCAGTACTAGGATACAGTGCGGTCGCGAGAAATCCAGGACCATTGTTACTCTAGCAAATGTTTGCTCCAACCAGTGCCTCGTTATTAGTTTCCCGTGCATAGATCGTACTCTACCGACGATTGAATTCCGCAAGGCCAGCCAACAGTTTAAGGACTTCCAGGCGAGCTTAAGGAGTTCAACGACAACAGCAGTGCCAGGTAGGATAACGATGCAATCAAATAAAACAACTATAACGTCATCATCATCAATATCGTCAACGTCAACAACAACAACAACAACACCAAATTCAGCAACACCATTTTCCCCCAGCGAAGCAGCCGGCATTTCAAAGGTGACCATAATTCTAACATGCAGCATTCTCGGAGCTCTCATCGTCATCATAACCACGTGCACTGTTGTCATCATAAGACGAAAGAAAGCGAGTAAACGCTCCCTGGTCGATCCTAAGAAACGGCATCCCTTGGTGTATAATTCGGGGCAAGACGACCTTTCGGGCGCATACAGCCGGTCGAGTGACGGGCACGACAACCCTGGGGACGTTCACTCTTACAAACAAACACAGTATTCCTCGTACGTCAATGAAGGCACAACTGGAGTTTTCACGCCTCTTGCGTACGTCAACCTTGACTACTCGCTGCCAAGCGAAGCAGTCGCTTCTCACCGTCGTGAAGACCGTGTCCCAGAAAACCGTTCTTTGCAGTCAAGCCGTGAAGAGAGGGGAGCGTCTGTTGAGATATATGACGATGGCACGAGTTGTCCGGGCAAAATTCCGGAATACTTAAGCCTCTACGATAAACCCGAAGCGACGTATGTCAATACGTACACATCGCCGTACGTACCAGTGGTCAGTGCTACTCGGACAAACGTAGACAAAGGCCATCAGTATTTGTCTTCGAAGGTGTCGGACAGTGACGGCGTTTACGTCGATGCATTCAGTGTGAAAGAAAGTTGAACAATTAAAACCATTTTTTTTTTGTTTTCCAAATACCCATGAAGTTGAATGGTAACGTTAAAGAATTAAGCCCGTTTGTGAGCCACACTGCTGCATTACCTTTGTGTTTCTAAAACAATATTTCCTTAATGTTTCATTGTTAATTTACAACAGTAGTTTGGCACCCAGCAGCCATAAAATTTGAATGTCCTAGTACCTCAGGGCATCAAATGCTTTCCTAAAGCCTGATCATCTATATCAACTGTGTCAGGGACAGGGTTTTTAAAGGATAAAACAATATTTCCTTAATGTTTCATTGTTAATTATGCATTTTTAATGTTCTGTTTCTAATTGAAATAATAACCTTCTTAATTTAGATCCCATTTTTTTAGTGAAAAAAGGGGGTGGGGGGTGGGGTGGGGTAATGCCTTTGCCATAAATTTATAAGTTAATTTATTTAAACATTAATACAGAACGTTGCACACAATACAAATGCTCTTCTGAGCTAGACACACTAAAATAAAGCTCCAATTTTGTATACACAGGTACATAGACACGGTACGTAAAATACATATTTGAGGATATATATTTGTTGTTTGGACAACCAGAGCAGTAGAATAAGGCGTCCCTCCAAAAAGGATAGTTCAAATTCAAATGACATCCTAGGCGTATTTTACTCAGGGAAAATAAGGAAATAATTCACCGAATCAATACACGATCAACAAAAACACACACACAAAAAGAAAGATATAGTTGATTGTTACCTCATAAAGCACTCGTATCAACTACTGTGTAGTTTCCATAAGGCAGTGTGTTCATGATTTGTAAATCATTGCGAGTTTTGATTTCTGTTGTGTACAGTGATTTTTAGCGAGCTTATTTGGTGGCAAGATTATTTGTGTAGCTGTTGCTACGTGGTTTGTATTGGTGACTCATTTGTGCATGAGAGATAACGTTGTGCATTGTTATGGTTTTGCTAGTTGGTGAGCTGCAGAGAGATTATGGATGGAAGAAGGCAAGCTGTGGAGATTATTGTTGAATAAAGAACCATTTTAAATATTGATCTCGTTGTTGTTGTTGCTTATTAACCCTAGCTCTGCGAAGCTATTGAACCACTCGTGCAAGTAGCAGTTCGTAACTGGCAGACAATCATCCCATCGTTCCCCAGGTGATCGGATGGTAACGGCGTTTTGTTAGCCGACTGCTTCCTTCCAGGCTGGCTTTGACTAACGAGATGACGTCTTCTTCAGATATATATATATAATTCGCCAGCAAAGGTCAAACACTACCACCACGCAGGTTATATACAGATACGCCAGAGTGTGGTTAAATAATGAGTTCACTAGATTGCAAAATATAATTCCCGATAACTACGCTAAATGACATATATCTATATTTAACAACGCAATTGCGTTTGGTGCGTAATATTTGCTTTTCGGAAATGAAATCGTCTCAATTTAAGTATTGTGTAAAAAATATTCGGTTTAAAAGTGGTTGGGACATGAGAATATTAATATAGTTCATGGGCGTGAAATAAAAAGTGTGCAGTGACGTATCATGAAATGGGTGGGGGTGGAGGGGGTGGAGCAAATATTGCCATTCTTAAATGTACGGAACTTGAGTTCATGTTTTTGTCAAGTAACTTTAGTAGATGGGAAGTTCACGCCGCCAAATGTTTTGCGGGCTATATCTAGTTTTCTATGTTTTGAGGGCCCACAATCGATGTAGCGATTATCTTATGATGATCTAAGATGTACTTAGAGACCTTATAAGACTTAGCCAGTGTGATCAGTTCTGAGCCTACAGGTTGTTTATTGGATTAGCCATTTTTTTTTTCTGAAAGGCACGTCAGCCCGTGAAGACACCAAACAATCCCATTGAATGACATAATAATAGGAGATAACGAGTGGTTCGTTCATAATAACCTTCCTGTTTTTTCTTGACATAGTCCATCTTGTCAAGTCGTGCGCTTTCACATATTTCCCCAAGTGATCTGCTTACAGTTATTTAAGTTCTTAACTAAGTGTCTTGTACAATTTTTATGTTGAGCTAGACCTATTCCGCATGATGCAGCATGCTCAGAGGTAGGATTTAAACTGCATGTTTAAAAGTAACATTACCTACGCGCGTAACATATTACTCAAAATGTGTCTCGCTCAACATATACATTGTACAATACACTAGAGGACTTAGACTCTAACCCACATCTCCCAGCCCCGAGATCAACATAAAAGCATGGATTAAATGTTCATGTTTAAGTGATATCATGCTGCTGTGTTGACCTTCGGGGCTGCGGGGAGAAGCCTGTCCAAGCTTAACCGGTCTGACTGCTACTTGAGAGATCAGCTACACCCAATGAGTTCTGCCATGTAATACACATATGTAGCTTATGTACAGTGTGCGTCTCTAGCCATCATCAGGTCAAGTTTGGGGCACTTGGTCAGCACGTATTTTCTAGTGTTAGATTTCCGGGGGGAGGGGGGGCCAAGGTTGCAATGCTGCTGACGGTTTGTGTTCTCGTAGTTACTTTGTGGGATCGATTGATTTGGTCAACATGACGACAAATAAGCCTAGTCTTACTATATTTGATTATAAAATTTAATACAAAAAATAACGTATGCAATGTTACAGGGAACAAATTATTAATAATGCTTAGTTCACACGATCTAATATTCGTCAAATTGGCATCAAATTTACGTCAAGTTTCTTTGTGAACGCTCTATTAAGCTTTTCTTAATCGTTCGTTCAAAAAGAAATGTAAAGAGGAGACTTTTTGAAACTTTTCAAGAAATAGGTTTTTATTTAAATCTGAGTTCGTCACATTTTTTTAGATAGTGTATTAATCAAACACAACGGCCGCATCTATTTCAACAAAGAACCTCATGCGACTCCGTAGACGTGTTACGGTTCTGTAGTACAAAATCCTTTTTCATTCTAGACAATACTTGGTACTATTGCACATTACAAATGTAGGATGTTTTTCTTACGAGGAGTTCATTTCCATTTCCTGGGTAATATAAAAAACAACAGGATTGTGCAACATTTGGTAAGTGGAATTGAATACAACACAGTAACAACGATAACAGCTGAATCTCGAGTCAAGTGGTGGTAGTAGACTTTCAAAGTGCACTGTTGGTCTTACGTGAGATTATTTTGTTAGATAACTATTTTTAAAAAAAAATGATAATAATAATTAAATATATAATTTCAAATCAAATTGTAGTTCTTCTGTCTTAAACAATACTATTTTTAAAGACTTTCTTTCTACTTGCAATCCATGGGGTTTATTTGTCTGTACAATATTTTTGTATTGTAACACTTGACCCACTCATTCAGGGCTCATCTGAGTTGATGACACAGAGATACTGCTCTGGTCTGCTGGTTTGAGTTGTGGGGATGAAGGGAGTGTTGAGTGATGGGGATGGAGTGAGTGTTGAGTGATGAGGATGGAGGGAGTTTTGAGTGATGGGGAAATAAGTAAAAGGTGATTTTAAACTCCGACCACACCTCTAAGTTTACAATAACCATCAGCTATAGATGTAGGCTTTTTGGATGGGGCAAACCATCAGCTATAGATGTAGGCTTTTTGGATGGGGCGAACCATCAGCTATAGATGTAGGCTTTTTGGATGGGGCGAACGATCAGCTATAGATGTAGGCTTTTTGGATGGGGCGAACCATCAGCTATAGATGTAGGCTTTTTGGATGGGGCGAACCATCAGCTATAGATGTAGGCTTTTTGGATGGGGAGAACCATCAGCTATAGATGTAGGCTTTTTGGATGGGGCGGTGGACGGTTTTGGGAAAGAACGACTCTAGGTAATAATATTTTGATGGACAGACGCCAATTTTTCGTTAAATTCAAACCTTATGCTGGGGTAAAGAGCTAAGTCAATGTATCCTAAAGTTTGTAAGCATTCATTGTTGAATATATATATATATTCTTTTGATGATAATAGATAGATAAAAACGTTCACAAAACACATTTTTAAAAAAAGTTAAGACGCAATAAAAATCATAATTTTTTTGGCGCTACACCCCCTGTAGGGCCCTGACCTCCTCCACCACATACTTCCATTCAGACATCATCACCAGTGGCACTACAGCCCATGTAGGGCCCTGGCAACCTCCACCATATCCTTCCATTCAGACATCATCACCAGTGGCACTACAGCCCATGTAGGACCCTGGCCTCCTCAACCACATCCTTCCATTCAGACATCCTCACCAGTGGCACTACAGCCCATGTGGAACCCTGGCCTCCCCCACCACATCCTTCCATTCAGACATCATCACCAGTGGCACTACAGCCCATGGAGGACCCTGGCCTCCTCCACCAAATCCTTCCATTCAGACATCATCATCAGTGGCACTACAGCTAACGTAGGACCCTGGTCCCCTCCACCATGCCAAATCCCCAAATGGTGTAAATCTTTCTCGACATCGTTAATCCTTCTCAGTCTTGGACGACCGGTGAGCCGTCTGCCCCTTAGGTTTCTCCAGTAGATCACTTAAGCTGCTCTACAATCCGGCATCCCTATAATACGTCCTACCCAGCGCAGACCGCCTTTTTTTATTGTCGCTACTATGGGTGGGTCTTTGTA